AACTTGTAGGTACACCACGTAAGTATTAAATACTGCAAAGCTTTCGGTCCGTTAACCCGGACCTTCATCAGTGCAATTACTTGAATACACGTTTGCGCGTCACTTAAATATCATGTTAGTCGTGATTAGTTTGCTAAAGAAAACTTTCTATTTTTTATATTTATACTTTTTATTTTTTTATATTATTTTTTTGATGAAGGTCCGGGTTAACGGACCGAAAGCTTTGCAGTATTTAATACTTACGTGGTGTACCTACAAGTTATTATAATTACTAAAGTCGCCATGCAATCATACAAGAAAATTAATATTTATATAGTTTTTGATCAAAAATATTTCGTACGATGCGGGATGACAGTGGTCTCTGTATTCGTCATGGTTTTGAAATATATTACATGATCCTATTGGTTGAAAAAGAAACAAACTGTAAAGTATTTGAACGAACTTTTTTCAACCAATAGGATCATGTAAAATATTTCAAAACAATGACGAATACAGAGACCACTGTCACAGTTTAAGGATATACAGTTGTGGAACTCGCAGGAATTCTAGTCCCCCGCATAGTTATCCGCACGCGCGAAGCAAAAGACCGTGTCATGGCTTCTTTTAGTATAGAAAAAGCTAGGAAAATAGTCAATTTTTGCAGTAAAACAACGATTTTGGCGAATTTATCAAATGGATTTGCTTCATTGTTGCGTATTTTATAAAAGGAGTTGGAGCTGCACGTTTTTATCAGAAATTGGTGTAAATAAACCTTTTTGAAACGGGAAAAACTAAATAAATAGGATTCGAGGAGTGACAGGTCAAATCGATGTTGCTGAAGAACAAGTTTTCACAAACTTGAATGGAGTTTTACCTTGTCCTTTTGATATGTTGTTAGGCTACACGGTAGACATTTCATATTAATTACAAGGATTAACTTAGAAGGAAAATACTGCAGGTTTTTCTCTTTGTTATGGGCCAGTTACCGATGCCCTAGTGTGTTTGCCAAAATGCATTAGTTTCACAAGCACAAACACAACCTGACAAGCAAATGGCATGCATTCTAAAAAACACAAAATCAATGGAATTAGTATTTCTGTAATTGATAAACTTGATAAATATAAAAGATAAACTGTATTATTTCACATCAATGACAGATATAGATTGTAGTTAAATTTTCAATGTTAAACTTCTATTCAGTATTCAGATTTAATAAAATACACTTGAAATAGTTTTTTGATTTATTTTTCCAATCACTTCTATGATATTTGCTCTGTTTTGTGATGTATGCAACTATATATATAGGTATAGCTAAACCAATCTTTGATCACAAAGCTTAAAGAATGTTTTGGCAATATTAGCAAGATGCATTCCAACAATCCAACACATGCATCTGCAATTCACTAGTGCTTTCTGCAAACTTTCATTGATGAGTGCTTTTCCCAGTGGGACATTTCTTGTGAACATGAAATAGCAACCAAACCAGCTTGATAGATACTAAAAAAAAGACACATGAGGACCAACAGTGGCTGAAATTGACTATAAATCACTGAAAAGAATTTATATTCAATTGTGTAATGATACATGAAACTGTATAAACATTTGTGTAATGATACATGAAACTATATAATATCCATTTATTATTGGATTCTCATTAACAGAAGAATGAAAAGTCCACCCTATAAATCCTCATAAGCACAGAATATAGAGCTATACTTATTTGTCAAACCTCATCACTGACAGTTTATCATTTATCACTTCCTGTAATTTAGTAAAATGAAAAAAAAATATACTTTCATGGTTTTGACAGGAATTTTCATAGACAGACAGAAATTATATGAACATAAATAAAAGATAACTGGGTATATCCATGACGAAAAACACATATTTATCGTTTGTATTTGTGCGACCTTTTGTAATTTTAATACACAAAGGCTGAAGCATGAAATTAGATCAAATTTTTTTCGCAATTTTTCATAAAAGACGTTCTCTCTGAACGAAAGAAAAAGATATATAAAGCACTTACCATTTTTTTGCAAAATTTTACTCCTCAAATCTCCATAGCTTAAACAACCTTTGTAAAATAAGCATTTTTAAGCGTTCGAACGCTGTTTTGCTAACAATTTGTATATAAATTCAGCCAGCGACACGGTCTGACACAGGGCGCTTATATATATATAAGCGCCCTGGTCTGACACGGTCTTTTGCAATTTGCGTGGCGCGTGGAAAATGGCGTGAGCGTTTGGAATTGAGGGACAGCAACATCAAAGGCACAGAGTACTACACAGAGGTGGAACTCGCGGCAAATCTTGTCCCCCTGTTTTTAATGCGCATGCGCTAGGCTCTGGCAAGTGTTTTTGCACTTTTTAATAAGGAAAATTCGATTTTTTAGCAGAAAAAATGCAATTTTAAAGCCATGGGTCTTTTGCTCTTCGTTTTTTTGACAAATTTTATTTATCCATCCGACATTGCTTCTTTTGGATTAAAAATGACTGCGATAATACGAATTAAAACAGAAAAAAAACGGGAAATACAACTACGAGGAGTGCGATTTTCACACGAAGCTTCTAGAACTGCCAGGTAAAAATTGAAAGTTTGGTATTTCATGTAATAAATGTAGGTCTATATGACTATATTTCGCCAACGTACAGTCATATTTTTTTCTAGATGGCAAAACAATCTCTCAAAGTTAACTTTGAGCAGATGACATATCAAGACATTGAGTTCTACTGTTCAACAGTTCAAGATAGCAAGTTAGATGGCTATTAAAAAATGTTTTACAACGTATACGCAGTTTACTGATATTTGTGAACCCTATGTTGTCTCCTATGCGTATTATTATTTCACTTTGGACTCTTCGGACCCTCTTTGGGCCGGTACAAATGGAAATTCTAGAACTGAATTATCTAGCAGCAGCAGCAAGGTTAGACAATGGTTCTAGAATTATAGCTTGCATATCAGTATAAGAAATTTATGTTATTCATATATAGGTAAGCTTTTATATTACCCTTATGCATTAACTGCTCAAATTATTTAGGCTTGGTCTAAATTCATTCATGTAATTAATCTCAACAAAAAGCCTTGTTCTTGAATCTATCCATGCAATGCACATTCTGCAACATTAAAACTCCATGTAAAAGGGAAGGTTAGGACACATTCATCATCATATTATAGTTTCAGAGCACAAAATATTTATATTTTTCATTAAATATTCACATCCAGAAATTGGAAAATACCTTTCAATCTTCTCATAGAAACCACACAGAATTGCATAATTAATTTTAGATTAGATTGGAAATTGATTTGCATGTCCTTCATGAATATTACAATCATGTATGAACTGAAATTAATATCTGTTAGCATTTACCATTTGTGTGTAAAGTTGGATTTATATTCGTGTAAAAAGTATTGTATAATTATATAGGTAAAAGTTGCATTTGTTTATTGTAAATCCTTTGAATTCAAGTTCATGATTCGAATAAAAAACATGTAGTTTTTGCTAGTTTTATATGGCAAAATAAATTATTTTCAAAGAAATTTTTTCGTGTGTTTTGAATTGTAGAAATGACACATCAATCATGCTTGTTTTAAGATCAGCTCAGATGTTTTCTGGATGGAAAAATAACTGCCTAATTTATAATCGCCGACGATGTTGGCAATCAACTTGATATTTATAAAGAAAATCATTCGGGCTTGTATTTCTTACTTCTTTAACCTAACGCATATATTTTTTACAAAAAAACAACCATTTACCGTTTGTTTTTAAAATTTAGGCGCAAAAATGGAGATCGATAGAGCCAGCTTTAAAATATTAACATTTTTCGTCTTTCGAACACCTTTTTCCTTTACTTCAGAGTCAAAATACACTTGCCAGAGCAATTTGCGTGGCGCGTGGAATGGCGTGGGCAGGGGGACAGCAACATCAAAGGGTTCCGCCGCGAGTTCCATAACTGTATATCATTAAACTGTGTCAAAGGGTTCCGCCGCGAGTTACACAACTGTATATCTCTAAACTGTGCCACTGTCATCCCGCATCGTACGAAATATTTTTGATCAAAAACTATATAAATATTGCCGTATTTTGTCATGTTAAAAGTAGTTTTAAATCGTAATTCGCACGTAAGAAGCGAGGAAAATTATCAGAGATTAGTTTACTATATTTTTTTATTAGTTTCGGTCAACATAATGGATGTATTTTGTCATAGTCTAAGTGGTAAGTTTCGTAACGTAAAAAAGAGCTTCCTACCTTATGTAATTATACATTATACATTACATTGACAAATTGCCGAAAAATTTTTCGGCCGCCAATTTTGGGTCGCCTATGGTTGCAGTCGACGCCGGCGGCTAAAAGTTTTATACTTTATAAATAGAGTGTGTATTTTTGATACCAAAATTGAAATTACACTTTCAAAAACACTTTTTGAAGTTAAAGCAAAGGTGTAATAGCCTTTCACAGGTTTATGCGTTTGCATAAAAAGCTGAAAATTTAACAAATAAACGGCATACAAAGCTGAAAAGTATACAAATACGGATACATTCTTACCGCGAAACAAATACGAAATAAAGTAAACACGTACCCTTTGTCTTTGAAAACATTTATAAGTTTGCAGATTATGAATTATTTCTCTTACACGGCTTTGTCTTGACCGTATCCACGTTCATCTTTGCTGTCATGCTTCATATATCTTGTTTCTTCTCGTTTTACTTTCTTTGCACAAAGTTTATGAAACGCTTTTAAAAAAATGTTTACGAAATGACAGTTAATATAAATTGCTGACGTTCTCATTGAAATACAAACTTTCTGTCTTAGCCAATCAGAACGTTCGTTGATTACCAGACGTTACTCGTGCATGCGCATAACTTACAAAACCACGCAACGTCGACCGTCCATGACAAAGAATTTGGACAACTTTGGATTCGCCTATGTTCTACCGGGTTCCGGGTGTAGTTCTTAATCTCCGAGCGGAATTAGTACCCTCGCAGGCGCTCCGCGCCCGCTCGGGGATTATGTTTTTTATGATTATTTATTTATCACCCTCGATTACTGAAACTCTTAATGATGGACAAGACTAAAATTTAACGAGTTTTCTGTATGTAGATCCATTTCTGTCAATCGTATACTTTTACGTACAGGTAGGGAATTGTACATCGGCCTAGCAGAAGAGAGAAAATATATAGTTGCATGAATACAGAGAAATAGGACCTAGACCCTTAAATTCAGGTGGTGAAAACGGAAAAGGTAACGATAATGTGTCCTGTCTATTAAATTCACCGATTTGGATATATATTTAAAGCTTCAGAATTATTTGAACTAATTCTTTTACTAGATTTGTGTTCTCAATCTGTTATTTGGAAATTATAGCTAGCATGGTCGCATGTTAGGTAATTTTAGGTACTTTCAATTTGAAATCGTGCAAATTTATTTTGATTAACGCTAGTTGCGAGATAGCAGGTGGAAAACGGGTGAAAAATGTGAGAACTTTTCCCGTTAATTTCCTTTTCCAAATTGTGGTTTTGAGTTCAGATTATCTTATAAAACGTTATACTTACTATTCGTTCTCGTTGCAAGGGCGGTAGTCACCATCAGACCTCTCGTCATGGGAAGCTATTATATAGAAAATAAAACAAAATTATAATTATATTTTTATTTCTGGCCCTGTTGTATATAATTAAGTCCTATAGGTATTTAGCTGTATGAGATATACCTATGTGCATGTATTTTGTGCGACCACAACACGTACCGGGTTTTTGTTTAGCCTTAGCAACCATAGCAATGTTTTGTTCTTGAATTTTCTTCATTCTTTGTTGAATACGTGGCTTCTGTTGTTTCATATTACGAAGACTTTCTTTGTCCTCACATTCTGTCAGATATGCAAGTGAATGATCACGATTGCCCATTCGGGTGTACACTTCTGCTAAACCAACCAAAGCCTCTAGGTGGAATAAGGTCACTTCATCTTCTTTAGCTTTCTCCGCGGATTTTGTGAAAATATCAATCGCCTTGCGATAGTATTCATCCTTTTTGATACTTGAGTAGAACTCGCCAATAGTATTCAAGTATCTGGAATTTTGAACCAAGGCATTTTGAGCAGTGAAAGTTTCCAGTAATCCCAAAAGATCGTCGCAAATTTGAACGCCGTCCGACACGTAATGGTCACGATTTTCAATGCTATTGAGTGATAGCAAAGCTTTGTAGCATGCCAAGATCTGTCGATAACAAACTAACCGTCTATACGTGTCATCTCTCGTTGTTTTCAATATCCCCATCTCGAAAAATCTTCTTTCTTCGCATTCCAATTGTTTGTAGCGATCAACTGCATTCATCAGGTCCTTGGCATGAACCTGTCCCTCTTTCTTTTCATGTATATCGTCTCGACAGATATAGTCATCATTAACCAGAAGATACAATAGACCATTTAACTGCACTGTATATTCATGGTAGACAGCATCGTTTTCATTCATCGCTTCGCTAATTTCACGTGAAAGGCAATACGCTAGCTTCAAAAGATCGATGTAAAGGCTTGGCTGTTTCATTGCTTCACCGTTTTTGTAGAAATAGTTTCGGCCAAGGCTGTAAATCACCGAGAGGTAAAGTTCCGGTAAAAATAACTTGCGATAGTCATCAACACCGTACGCCGCATCATGATAAACAAACTCTTTGACTTCACTTGGGGAGAGCGGTTGGGAGCGTTCAATTTTTTCCTTCACAGTTTGATTCACCTTGACTGCTTCCGGGAACACAGCTAGGTCTTGCTTGTTTACAGTGCGCCAAAATACAAGCTCTTGGATGGTGTCCGACGATAGTTCGCAGCTCTTTCGTGTCAGTTTTTTAAACAATTGGTGCGCAACGCTTAGCTCGTTCTTACTAATTTCGTACATTTGGTCTACTTCAGAATCTCCGAGCGGTTGTCTGGGGCTTAGCGACCTGTCAGCCGGTTTTAAATCTTCATCAGTTATCCCGCAAATATTATGAATCAACTCTCTAGCACGTGCAAAATGTTCATCCGACTGCTTGCGCATTGGAGGTTGGTGCTGAGTGTACGTGAAACCAACCAGTTCTGATAGTCGAGCTAATGCTATCGCAGTACGGTCATCTTTTTCCTTGTCTTCCCATTCTTGAAGAAAGAACTTTGCATGCTCACGTATGATACGCTGAAGAAAATTACCTTTGGAAAAACGGTTGTCTTTATTAATATATCTGACAAATATTTCCGCTAGTTTGTACAACAGATCTGCTTTAACTTGTTCGTCGATCATGTCTTTGATCACGTACTGGGTAAACGGGTGGAATGAAAAGAAACGAATACCATTTTCTTCTGTGATTTGAACCAGCGACTTCAGCTGATCATGTAGGTCGTTTAGATCTGCTGTGTTCGCCAAGTCATTGCTTGAAGGTAGTTGATTGCTGAGAAGAAACTCTGGGATCATGCTGTTTGAAATGAAAGAGACGGTAGCCAAAGCAGAGAACCTATTCTTATCAACTTCTTCTAAACATGCACGCACACTCGCGTAAAGTGTTCGTTGATGTGTACTTAGCTCGTTTTGACGAACTTTCGGTGCTGCCTCGCTATCATACAGCATTTTGAGGTATATTCGAGTTGTCATCTTTTTTGTCAACATGTAATCTTTGGCAGTTGTTAGACCAAGGATATTCCAACCAAAATGATTACAAAGCTCTTTGAGATCTTCTTCACTATTCTTAGGATGAATGTCCTGAAGAAACGCCATTGCCTCGTCAAACTTCTCCACTTGTAGTACTTCCGTATTAGAAAGAGACAGAAACAGAGAAGCATTGTTGGTTGTGATGATGATGTAAATTAAACTTCGAATATTCCACAACTTTTTAAACCACTCAGAAGACGGTTTCTTTTGCACGTTGTCTAGGACAAATATTACATCCTTTCCCACAGCTTTTTGTTTAACGGTCTCAAATAACAGTCGATACTGTACACCCAGTTTCTCTGCAAGGTCATTTAACGACAAGATGATGCTGTCGTCAGTAGCAGAGACGTCTAAAAACCAACTTATGACGAACTTTTGCTTGTTCTCATCAATGTAATGCCGAGATGCGTAAGTTTTCCCCGTTCCTATTGTTCCGTTCAAAATTTTTGGTTTTCCTCTTTGTATCTTCTCAATTTCATGATCAACCTTCCCTCGCGAACAATAGCTACGAACTGGTTCATAGCAGTTGCTAACATCCTCCAAAGTTGTACTTGTATTTGTACTTGTACTTGTAGGATCTGTAAGAAATACGCACAATTTGGCATTTAAACCGGATATTGGACAATGTTTTTCGACTCGTTTTTTGGACAGAGTCTTTGATATCGGGTACACTGCATGGGATGCCCCCTTTTTCTAATGTAATGATGCTTTTTTGATTTGGTTTATGAACATGTTTTTGCTTTCACAAAAACACTAACGATTTCTATTCTCACCTGTTTTTGAGATTTGCGATTGTGCTTGATCGCCTATAGTCGTGACGGCGTTTTTGCATTCAGATATGGAAATATTGTAGATATTTGCCATTATTTATCTAGAAAAGAGAAACTATTAAATTGAGAATCATTTTCCTGTGACTAGAAAAGCACCCTGGTATATATATCGTGATGTATTTTTTGTCCGAACGACAACGCTTTTTAAAAATGATGAAGACCTGACTAGATTATGCTTAAACATGTATGTGTTTGACGGTGTATAATATGGGGGAGATAGGAATTGTACGTAACTGACGAAAGTTATTGCCACTGACGTGTATACCCACAGTTCATGAAGAAGTAAGCAGTGTGATATTGCAGCATATTCGGGCAAAAGTGTTACCAGTAAGACAAAATTTGAATTCTTGTTATATTATTGTTTGTTGTTTTTTTCCAATGCGCTATCGCTTTTACATCAACGATGAAAACACTTATATGTCAAGACTTATGCAAACTTCCTTGAATTTGTTGACAATTAAAAATCAAACAACTGGGTAACCACGCATGTTGATTGTTTCAACAGGCTTTTCTGCTGCTGTTAATATTGAATTTTGGAATATTAGTAGCTAATATACGTAAAACGTTTTGAACCCGCCCGCATTTAACCGGAAACAAATCCTGATATGGATCAGTTTCCGGGAAATAGCCAGTTGCTACATGGGATTACGTGTATAGTATTCGATTGTATGATGTTTATGTATATAGTATGTCGTCTACCTGTCCCTAATTTAAAGGCCAAGTATATCATGTGAATTCGGAAAATATTTCAGTAACTGTAGAACTGAACCGTGTAACGTACTTAAGGTCCTTAATATTATCATGCGGCTCTTAAGAGCGGTGATTTCCAATTATAACACTCGAGACAAGCTGCTTCTGCATCGGTTTGCGCCATTTCCTCGGAGACTTTTAACGTCATATACGTGGTAAATTCTGATATGAGCTCATTCAACAATCGTTAAGCTGAGCTGAAGTAAGTTTAATAAATCCCACTTAAACTGAAGTGTTATCCGTTTTTTTTCTGATTGTTAAAAGGTATTTTCAACAGACATAGACGTAGTAATATACATGCACGGCGGGGTTTATTTATTATTTAAACGATGCTTCTTCGGAAGCCTTTCTGTTTCTATCTGTGTACTCGTTCTAAATTTGTGGACTTAGATTTCGGGATTTTGTTTGCGACATTCTGGCCTTACTAACAGTAGTATACGCTCGATCTATAACTATAAATAAAGACGTTCCCTCCTCACATTACATGCATGCATCTATTTCTTTTAAACACACTTACCGTAAGGCGTCAAGTTCAGCGTTTAAAATACGAATAATATTTCGGGCTGATATGTGACAGTTTGTTGTCCAATCGAAGTGTATATATAACACACAGAGCGATAAATAAGTATACGGTTAAAGCATCAAATTTCGCTCAGACTTTGCAAAATGTAGTTTTGTAGTCACAGAGATGAGAGAATATTGATATCCCAATCAGCAATACGGCTCTAATATATCCCATGATTCCTTATTAAAAACGGCGATATTCCTATTTTCGCTTCCGGGCTTCCGGCCTTGCCCAGTTTAGTTCACAAGCGTCGTAAGCTTTGTTGTATAAATAACGAAATCTGACATCAAATAACATGCATGTATGCATGCAACTCACTTAAAATATGATTATTGTGAACTAACGCTTGTAAAGGCTTGTAACGTATTGTAAACTAACGCTTCGTTTACATATCCAACTGTTACATTACTTGAACTGTGATAAACTATCTGCATATTTCAAATATATTGGTTCGCTATGCCTATATGGTTTTGCAATTAAACCAGATGTTCTGTTTCTTCAATGTTGCAACATCGCCGTGTTTTCAAATATACATTTTGCGACCGAGATTTGCATGTACAGTCGCAGTTACATTAAGTAGTAACCTGCTTGTTTTCATAAACACACCTCAGGAATTTTTACATTATAAATATGCATTTGCAAGCGTCTAATTTAAGCTAAGCTACCACGCATGTTTTCGTTTTAAAAATGCATGTTCCTAGTTCTGAAAGTGAAAGTTTTATTAGCTTTTATTTTTACATTCAACTGGTTTAAATGGTAGTATCGAAGCAGATAGAACTTACAATGTAACTTGCAAGAGAATTTGAAAGTTTCGGTTGCATTTGTTCATAGCAATTTGCAAATGTACTTTCAATATTCACGGCAATCTTGCAAAACAGCGGTCAACAGACTATGAACTAGAGTCAGTGTCCAGAAAAACCCAAAACATGCGAAGTTTAGGAAATTTTCAAATTAGCGAATTGAATAGTCGATGTCCAAGTTTCAAATTGTGTTTCTTCCAAACCCCTCATTGAAAATTGAGAATTGAAAGTTTAATAGACCTTTTTCATAATGACGTCAAACGCGGAAAGTCTGATGTTACACGAAGTTTGATTGGCTGGATAGTTTTGTGAGCCAATGAAATTTCGTGTAACATCAGACTTTCCGCGTTTGACGTCATTATAAGAAAGGTCTATTAAGAGGGTCTTTCTTGCTGAGGATCTTTCAATAGAGTACGATTATAGAAATTTTAATCTACTTCTCTAGATTTGCCTCCTTGACTTTGGAGCGAGTAGAGAATATCCAAAAAGATTTGTGGACATTTATATAAAGGTATGTTAATTATCGACCACAATAATTATGGGATTTAGGCTTGGTATCAATGCTGTAGAGGTAAGGTCGTTAGAAAAAAGTGGGAAAAGGATCTTGAAAATCAGTAAGCAATATACTTGCTAGGGCAACAGCCTTGAAATTCTTTTACCAAGGGCTCTTCATATTGCTTTTGTCTAGCTGAGGAAAAGTGAATTACAATTCAATTACGCATCAGTGTAACGAAAGTGTAACTGCAACAATTTATTTTTCTTTTCTTTCCAGATAATCCATGCTGCGTCGACAGGCGACCGGAAGACTGTGGTCGAATGCTCAAAAATTCTAGGATTTTTATCTGGTTACGAGTCAAAAGTAAGCTCATTGTTATCACTTCTTACATGTACACCCTGACTTAAAATTATTTTTAGGGCATTTGCTGTAGGTGCAATTTGAATCCCCTTCCTTTGATAAAGATTAGCCATAGGGCTATCAGTTGAATTCAAAATGGCGTCTAAATGCCGGTTGTCCCAAAAATGAAACCTAACTTTAACTTGCTATAATGAATATCGGGTTAATCGATTTTATTTTTGAACAGAAAGAAAAAGAGTCGGGACAAATTACTGTGTAAAAACTCGAGAAAAGGGGACTAAAACTTGAACCGAGTCGTTCGTCGTGTGAAAAAGGGAAACTTTGCCGGGTCCCAAATTTCTCCGGTCTCGTGTAAACTTAACCACTGTGTATTAGGCCATTCATTCACCCGTTCAATTCCCTTCATCGTCCATTGAACAAAACGCCGACAATCAAGTAATCTCAAATTTACCGATGTTTTCCAGGTAATGATAACAGCACATGCTGATGCCGTCATGATTTTAGGAGAACCATTCAGTTCGCCCGGGACCTTCGATTTCGGAACCCAAGACACAACGTCAAGAATACAAAGCCTCATTCCCGTAATGCTTCGTCATCGTTTGTCCCCACCCCCGGAAGAAAGTTACTCCCTGCATCGTAAAATGTCCGGGGCATTTCTTCTTTGCTCTCGTCTAGGCGCTACCATTCCTTGTAAACAATTGTTCGATAATATTTGGACAAACTATAAGTTCACTTCTGTGACGTAGTATATAATGATGAAGATACTGTGGGTAAGGGAAATGTCGCTTTCCAAATTTTATCACATAAATCTTATCACCTCATGTCCACCATGTGAACTCTCATCCCACAGTCACATGAGCGACTTAACTTTTGCCAGTCAAGGTGAAATACAACTACAAGGTCAATTGCGTCAAACACACACAAAAAGAGGATTCTGGTTCTGAATTGGCATTAGACCTTGGAACCTGATATTAAGAGTCATAAGACCTTATATTGGAGATAGATATTATAAAATTTCTTTTTGTCATGTTGGATTTGTAAATTTGAAATTTTCCCGAAAGAAAATTGAACGACTGAACAATATAAAACTGCGTGTTCTTTATTGTCACACCATACCATAAGAAAACATTTTGAAACATGAATAATTATGAACAAAGAGCGTCGCATCAAATGTGATATAGCAAAAATTTTTTCTCGACGATTCGATCAAAGGGTTTTTGTCAGCAGAGTTATTAGCACGTCCTGAGAAGTGTTTTTGTCTATTTTAGGCAGTTATTACTTATTATACATTTACACCACACAAGTTGCTATTGTTAGAAGAACACTGCCACGTTGCCCTTGGCGCTTGGTTATAATATTTGAATGAAAGTTGGAATTTGGAAACAGCCGGGTTTTGGCAATTCAACCAGTTTACTTTTTCGTAGGGAACAGGGAACCGAAACCGCTAAATATAACCTCGAATTTAGATTTCTTTCCACAAATCAATTCTGCCTTCAGAACAGGCGATTGGATTCCAGGTTTTCATACGCATCAATATAAACACTGAACGATATTTTATTGTTTTTATTGGCTGCAACGTTACTTCCTGTTTTGAACGCAGCCAACATCCGGTTAAAATCACAAGACTAAAAGCTCAAAGAGATGTTGTGAATGGCGACTGTCAGGTGTTTTATATCGATATTCGTGATCGTTTTTACCACGATTCTCTCATGGGCAGTTGTTATTATGATAGATTTTTACTCTGGCCATGGCAAAAGCCTGACCCCCCATAAACTTTCAAATAAACCACCGTTTCCTGGCGGAAAAATGAACAATATATTTTGGATAGTACAGGTATTAAAATATAAATAGTCTTGTAAACAAATGTTGGATTAAATAATTCGAGGATCTTATGTTTGTAGATCTCAATATGAGTATTATATAGAAGTTTTATTTACATCTTTAATGACGGTAGATAGCAAAGAAATGTCTTGGAAAGCAAACAAAATTAAATTTAAAGATCTCTTATCCAACATTCAATATATTCATAATATATTCCTCTAAATTTATATTTTTGGCAAATTAATAACAGTGAATACTATTTTAAAATTTTTATTTAGGATTAGGATTCTTTATGCAATATGCATAAAATTCTTCCAGGTTAATTTGCTACAATATTGTCTGAGGAACTAAGGAACAATTCCATACGTTGGTGTAAGACAACTAAAAATATATTTTTATTCAATCTAATAATTGCCATCAAGCAATGCAAATATCTTCGCGCTGTATTTAATTTTCAATGACATCCTTCGTGACCCAAGGTTGAAATGTTCTCAGTTAAATCAAATGGCCTAGTGACTAGTGAGGTGATACTGTGATACATCAGTGCAAATTGCTTGTAGCAGTCTCAAGAATACTATTGAAAAGTTCATGCAATATTGGTATGTGGCTCCCAATAAAACACATTAACAAACTAGGGCTGTCTGGCATATAATATAAGACAAATTGTTATATAGGTGCTGTGTAGTTTAAATGTGATTGGTTCAATCATAGTCACATGACTTTAAATAAATGCAATGTGTCCCGCTAGGGAATAATTTTTGCCAGCTTCTTGTCATAACAAAGTAAAGTGGGTTTCTTTTTTAATGAAATTGTTGCGTAACATGTATGTTTTTGTTCCTATATAACAAAACACTTAATGTACACTACCTTGGGAAATAGTGAGTTTTGTTTTCCCTCGAGACTCAATGTTTCCCTCGACTTGGGAAAACAAAACTCATGCACTATTTCTCTCTGGAGCATACATTAAGTGTATAGTATTAACATTGGCCATGGGGTATATTGGGCAGACATAACAAGAGGATTGGTTATGACCACAGTTCAGCCCCTGATATTTGTTTTTAAAACCATACAAAGCAGATTATTACCCCAAGCTAGAACAAATAACATTGTGACTTGAATAATTTATCTACATGATCTGTGTGTATATATATATATGTATATTTATATATATAGGATAATGACAATTAGTTTTTTCATGTGTGGGGAGCAACGGAGCTAGGTCCTGGGGACGAGGATGCTCAAGAATATATTGATATGAGGTTTAAGCTGATGACCTCACCATTTGCAAATCTTTGAAGGTTTTGCTTATTAGTGAAACAATACAGAAAAATTTAACAATATGATGGTATTTTGGGTGGTTGCTTCATTGTGAAAAAAAACATTGCCTTCATCATGCATAGAACAGGGACTTAATGATAATAGTTTCTATAGATGGTCTTGTCTCTTAATTGACTGTGTAATGTGGTCAAACAATATCACTGCATATATATGCACACTAATTCATTCATTTTTAGATATCAGACATTCATATTAGCAAATTCCGTGATCCAAGTCGCCAAGAAAGCTTAAAGGTTTTTTGTGACAAGCACATTGACATAATCCAACCCACTGCAGTGCTTGTCACAGGTAAGACAAATTACAAAATTTAAATTGCATGTTTTTTAATTCCCACAAGCTTATGTGATGCTACAGTCAATACAATCAGTATTTTACCAGTTCCAGCCTAATTTGTTCATACAGAGTGCCTGGCACTGCATGGCACTTAAGTTGAATATGATGCTTCCAAATGAAATTGGGCATGTTGCCCAAGAATGCAGGCACTACCACCAGAGGTAGTATGTACTTAACAAGGCACTGTGCTCAGCATGTTTTGTGAACCAGATTTGACTTTGGGTGCTAGCTGGTACCAGGCACTCAGTCTGAATGTAACTTTAGAATGTACTGTTCCATCCTTACGTTTAGTTTGTAATTGCATAGCCAAGAATCAAATTGCAAAGTTATATGCATATGAAGTCTATAGTATTAAATATTGGTATTTGTTTATGCTGCAGGTGATATTGTTGATGCAAAAGATAGATTTCAAATTGGTTCAGAGCAGTATGTTGAAGAATGGCAAATTTATCAAAAAATTCTTAAAGAATCAGAGGTTGCAAAGAAAACGCAATGGTTAGACGTGAGAGGAAATCATGGTATGGAAAATATTACATCAATTTACAATTACAATCTACCTGCATTCGAGTAATTCTGGGTTTATACCCTTGTTATAACCTGAGACCTAGCAGAACTTTGTTTCCATAGAAAAAAATTAAAATGCTTACTAACTAAATTGTGAAAGCGTGGCAGAGACAAAAACAAAATGAGAAATTCAATTCGTAGGAACTACGTCTGCGATATATGATTGATGATTCAGTTATGGGTAAAAGAAAGTAAAATACGTTTTGTTCTTACCTACACATGAGGAAATAAAGCAGATATATATAAAGAGATTCCTGGAAAACAATTTCTTATAAAATGTATTATTTTTTCGAAATAAAACGAAACAAACGTGCTGCCATCGATTACTCGTCCTAAAACCCGCCATAGAATTTCCCGCCACAGAATTTCCCGCCACAACGTTTTCCGCCACAACGTTTCCCGCCACAACGTTTCCCGCCACAAATAGGAAATCAACACGTGGCTGTCAGCCGCCCGAGTTATAGTAAGGAACTGAATAAGAATAATGACCCACAAGGCTACACTTTTTGCTGAGAAATCTTTCACCCAGCGCTATATTTGTTAAATTCCGGTTTCGAGTCAGAGGCCTGCTTACTACGTTTGACTGTTTTAATTAAAAACGTGTACATTTTCACATTCGAGTCTTGAAATGTACGTTGAAAACATTTCACAATAACAATAGAAATATATTACCTAATCACTTTATGCTGCTTTTTGATGTTCGATACCTTAAAATGCGGCACCAATATGGCCGCCGTGACGTCAGTATTTATTTGTGTCATTTGTTTACAGATAATTTTGACGTCCCATCAATAGAAAGTGAGCAAAATATGTTTAGGTTTGTAGACATGCATTCTTACTGAATAATTGAAGAGCACTACACCATAGCAAGCCTGCAGATTAAAGATTTTTTTTCAAAGCTGAATGGCATTTTAGAAAGGCTCCTAGAACCTAAAATCTTCCAGCTACGAAAAACAACGTTTCCCTGAAGGCTTGAATCTAAACACATATAGCGATGCGAGACTTTTTTACTTTTATCGTTTAGGAAATACTCCATGAGTGGCAAACATGCCGATAGACGTGATTCAAAATCCTATCAATTTGTTTACGAAACCGAGTTTGGGAAATATTCATTAAATGGCGTCGACGCAGGCCTTGACCCAGGCCCCAAGAGACCGTTTAACTTTTTTGGACAATTCAGTGAGGTACCTATATAAACAAATCTATTGGTTGAAACGTGTACTCATTCTTCCCTTGTTTTAAGCTTTGGAAGATAAGAGAACTCCCCCCGCTTTTTAGTGTTGAATTATCACTCGCACTTATATTAAGTATGGCACACCGAAACCCCAATCTTGTTCGCAAGTGGTATGGTTGGAGTTACTATATTGCCACACTTATCCCCCGATATTCAATACCTGTCTAATGATTATCTACTAGACATTATTGCCATTGTTCGCAGGAGGATTTACGTGGCTTAGAAAAGTTGGTCGAGGATAGTAGAAATCATAATTTGAGCATTTGGTTTGGCCATTATCCTCTTTCGACTGTCTCGGGACATTTCAGTTCTAAACGAAATTTGCTCAGGTTTGTACAGTAACGTCTATGCATTGTTTATCATTTTGCTATCATTCTAACTAGCATTATGGAAGTAACAAAGTTGTGCATTAGTGATTCTATTAGACAACTTATAAGTTTAGACTTCTTAGGAAGTTTGAGCGTTTCCAACATTGAAATCGTACTTAGCATCTTCCAGAAAGTTATCTTTGCATAAAAGCGAAAACGACTGTTAGTAACTCGGATTCCAATCCATATAGCATCTGGACAAAACAACTACACTTTCAACTTTTCCGTTGAAGTCTTTAGAAACTTCTACCCTCGTAATTATATTTTGGGTGCCTGACCAGATACTTTTTTGCTCTCTGCATGAAGATTGTGGTAAAGGCCGTTTAAAGTCGATCTCTCGTCCATAATGGGCAGGGCGGCTATATATAAGCGCTCTGATAGCTATATAACTCGTGAAGTTTATTTTCTATTTCAGATATGGCGATGTTTACCTTTGCGGTCATCTCCACACACTAGGCAACGCAGTGCCACAGATGCATGCGGTCCATAGGGATGGACATTTGGAGTTAGAACTGGGAGATTGGAAGGATAACAGGAGGTAATTAGTAACTTATTCACTAAAAGAAATATATTAATACCGCACTTCGTAACTCTCAATCTTGCATGGTGACTGATATTTATTGAATTCGTTGTAGATATCGTATTCTAGCAGTGGATCACGACCTTCTGTCCTTCTCCGATGTCACATTTGATAAATGGCCAGTGGTTGTGATCACAAATCCTAAAGACGCACATTACGGAATTAAGGCACACGAACCACTAAACAGAATCAAGAAGTCGACTCACATAAGGTAGGTTAATGCAATATGAAAAGACCTTCTTAGAATTAGCAGTTTCCGGATTTTTTGCGTTTTATCAAACACTGAGGCACTGTTTAAAGCCCCCCATAAAGCCATGCACCTTGGCTACAATGAACCTTTTTCACTCTACGGTCGCAAAATGAATTTGTTACCAATCATTGCTGCAATTTAAAAACATCTTGAATTGAATTTCATAGGTAGTTTTAATTTGTTTATACTTTCAAGCTAATTCCTACAGTTTTGATTGGATGTCCCTAAATAGACTATCGCATACCTTATACGTGAAAAAAAAATTACGCCGATGACTTTGTTACGTGTAATCTTGCTGATCAAACTATTGACCCTTCTTAATCCATACTTTAAAGCTCTATACCTCTCCGTACATTTTACAGGTTGCTCGTGTTTTCCCCATTCAACATTGCATCCGTACAAATCTTGATTGATGATGTAGCATTGTCGTCAAAAGCTGAGCATGTTCAAGGACCTCTGTATGTCTGTCCGTGGCAACCAGATTTATACAGCACTGGACTTCATCGTATTACTGTCATTGCAAAGGTAAGTTGGGATAAAATAAGTCGACTCACAACTGTTTTGTGTTTTCATAGCTTTAGGCGGAAAGCATGCCTTTTTTTCCATCGAATTTTCAGCTAGAATTTAGCATAGTGAATTGATAATTGGATCATCAATTTGTAGAAACACCTGCAGAGCTATGTAACAAATATATATGCATGGTGTTATATTTGTTATATGCAGAATTATTTATAAGGTTTTTCTTGCAAAATACCGTGTATATTTTTGTCATTCTTGCATTTAAATTCTCGCTGTTTGTTTCTTCTCTAAGGATGCTGGTGGCAATTCAGTTGAAACTACTCGTACTTTTTCCATTGACGGCAGTCGACCTGTCCTGAAATTACTTCCAGCTATGATTTTACTCACAGATATGCACACTTTGGTAAGAGCATTATCCTTTACGACCAAGAGATTCAGATGAAATAGATCTTCATGGGATTCAACCATGTTGAATCATGTGCTCCGAGATATATAACTAAAATAATTTTCATTTTAAAAGGTTGATTTACAGTATACTGTATACATGAGGTCGACGCGAGGTCTATTTTGTTACTTTTGAAATTATTTTTCAAAGCAGTTTGCAATTCTTATATTGAAGGGTCAACTGTTATATTTCATATCTTTCCTGTTCATCGTTTGCGGACCCGCATTCGTCAAATACTTTCTCTTAGAGAAACCATCAGGTTGGTATGATCTATTCTCACTACGTTATACTGAGCCACATCACATATGTTGCAATCCTTGCGTTTTACTGTACATTGTGATTGGTAGCTAATAAATAATTGCAATTTTGAAACATTCGAGGCTGACCCCATGACAAATCACTGAAAAAAATGATTAGTGAAGCCCGGTAATATAGTTTTATGACAGCTAGTATACGCAATTTGCAATTTGGTATTTCTTTATTAGTTTTAAGGGCTCTCAGCATTTCCAACGGTTTGAAAAAACTGACCAAGACGAATGACGTGTTCTATCCATTGTTTTTATACGGACTCTATACTTCTTTTGGTATGTCAATTTATTATCTAAACACATTTCTGTTTAGTTTTTTTCCTGCACAAGCCACATCATTCCTTCTGTAATATTGTGCTATTAAACATCTTAATATTAGGTCCTTGGATTGTTGCCGAACTCACAAGAGGTCATATTGGTGTGGTATTTTTACACGGTTTATATTTAAAAGGAAAATGGATTCCAGAGCCCACGGTGTATGCATTTGGTTTGTTTCAGGTCAGTTAGCATCTTTTTACTACGCATGTCAGTTCAATAGCAATTTCATAGTATTTAATCGATTATATCTTTTGTTTTTCTTTACAAAACCAGCCGAAAATCTGTGAATATCGTTATTTATAAGAACTATAGCTCTTCCATAAATTTAAACCGAAGTTGGTTCAACCGAGAAATAGTTTTTATTTCACAACTTGTTCCAGTCCTTTCCCGCCATTTCAGATCATGTGGTAACAGTCCTTCCCACATTCCCACAACAAACCAAACTATCGGAATTCTTGGAACTTACAGGTTTAATTTTTTTGCAGAATTTATTATTTCAATTGCCTTTGACTGCGTATTTGGCGTCATATCTGGGTCAGATGAAATCGGCGGCAACGTCGTTCAGTAATGGCGCCTCAAAATCTCATCCCTCTTTGAACGACGAACACAAATGGGGAATCTGCTGGAGTATTTATATGAATATTATCTTATTTATTACGTTCCTATTTCAACTTTATGGCAGCCTGTCGTTTTGGCAAGCGTACGGACTTATGGCATTCGTTATTTCCCCCGTAAAAACTTGGTCGCTTTTTCTTTTGGTGTTTTTAGTAAGGAAGGTCCGGAATAGGGTCAAATTTTGCTCAACTTAACACATTTGACGGCTTCGCGACTCGTCCTGTTTTCTCGTTTGAACACATAGAACCGGGCAAATTTTTCGTCCATTTTTTTACCGTGTGAACCTGAAACGAGAACGGTTCCAAGTTCGTCTGGTCCCGTGTGATCGTAACCTAAAGGCGCTGTTACACTATGCAACTTTCCTTGCAACTTGCAATGCAATTCTACTCCTGAGGCATCTAAAGTTGTCAAATACGAACATTTCTTAGGATCTGCTAACGTTTTCTTAAGGCCGGCCTCCACTTGCACGTATTGTCACTGCGGCCGATTTGCTCGGCCGTCATGCTTGGCCGTCATGCTCGGCCGTCGCGGCTAATTAGCCATTTCCCAATGGAGCTGGGTACTGGGTCTAGTCGCGAACCGCAAAGCATCTATGGACTGTTTGGAGGGACAGGAAATAATTATTTGTAATCATTTGTCCCTCCAAACAGTCCATAGATGCTTTGCGGTTCGCGACTAGACCCTAGTACCCTGCTCGATTGGAAAATGGCGAATTTTTTGTACGTATGACATTAGAACTGTAATCTACAGTTTAGAGTCACCGAGCATGCGCCAAATCGGTCGCACTGATAGTATGTGCAAGTGGAGGCCGGCCTTTAACATTTCGAGCACTCTTTACTAATTAACATCCTTCAAAATTTTATTGCATATTAAGTTTCAAGGAAAATTGCATTGTGTAACAGCGCCTTAAAACGGGTCCTAGTCGTGTATTGTCGTCATGACGGATTTTATTTAATTATATGTTTTTAGGGTAAATTTATAGACTGACGATCATGGCTGTAAATCGTAGGGCGATGAATTATTTATGTATTTAGAGTTTTATTGCAAAAATTATAACATTTAGTTAAATATGGATCCGAATTCGTCGTTCTACGATATTTTGGCCGAAGATGACTGTGCATGTATTTTGGAACGAAGGGCGGCACTGGGTAAATATTTATGTATTTTATGAATTCGCTATGTATACATGCATGGAAGGAAATCCACCTTTATAATTCAATGTATTTTAGCGTTCAAATTTTAGGGAAATAAATTGGTAACAGAGTAATTGGTTGTTTACGGAATACTTTAGCCGGATGCATTCCAATTAAAATTAGTAATCTAAGTTCATGGATTTAAGGCGCCGGTCGTACATACGAGTGCTGTACATGGTGTCTCAAAAAAAACGCAACCACTTAATATTCTAAAATTCATATTGTTCATAAGCTCAATAGATTTTATGCCCCTGGGATTTTAAAATGGCTTCTAATCGTACAGTTCAACTGCTAATAGTCAAATCAGCTAAATTAATAATGGTGCAGCTAACAACCGAACAACGAGTTTTTATTGTCGTGCATGATAACTTGAATGCTAACTGTCGACCTTGTATAAAATAAGTTGTAAATAAAATTTTACTCGTTAAATACTTTCAATTCAGCTCGTTGGTTTACGCATCCGAGTTTGTTTACCGACGATTGTGCCGCTAGAATATGATTACAAGCTTTCTCGCATTCCAGGGGCCAAACGTCTTTTGTGTTGTAGAACAAAGAGGATATTCATGAATATTAAGTGTTGCGTTTTTTTTTGATACACCCTGTATAGCGCTATCCCGGATACAGCCTAACAGGGTCTCGACAATGCAGGGAAATTTCCTTGCAATTGACAACCACAAGGAAGGAGGGATTTGTGTTAATAGGATATATTATGCAATCTTTTCAAAATTTCTTTGTCTCTCTTTTTTGTCATTGCTATGAGGACAGTCATATGCAAATAAGTTGTGGAAACCCTGACGGACAGTGTTTTTTTCAGTCGCTCGAAAATATTAATTATTGCCCGTTGTTCGGTATAGTCGGTCTCGTTTCTTCTCTGTTGCTTGAAATTATTATTTACTAAATTTAACACCATTAATAGCATTATTATTTGGGTTAAATTTAGTCCTAACTGTGTTTGTTTCTAATTCTGAATTGAAGATTCTTTTTTGTAGACGTAGTTTTATTGCTGTTAAATTAATGATATGCAATAAGCAAAAGGTGAACAACGTCATTTCAAAAGAAAATTCCTCTGGTATTGTTTTAAATGCTTAGACGACAAGAATTCTATTGAATTTCCCCTCAAGCTTCATTCCTTAGGGTAAACGGGACTAAATATGCATGCAGTAATATCGACGTTTTGCTACCAACGAATTCAATGGCCAAAAAATATTTGAAATTTGAATTGCAAACGACGTTAAGGTTTCTTCCTCGTGTAACTTTGCAAGGACAAGACGTTTGATTATTCGGCTTGCCACCGCCTTTTTCCTGCGAAAACCGTGTATTTTTCAGCCTATACCTGCCGCTAAAAGGTGGGAATTAAGAAACAATTCGTTTTATCGAGAATGTTATTGGTAGATCTTACAAAAATACAAACAAGTGGCAAAATACAAACAAGTGATTCATCAACAACACGAAGGATTATCGAGTCTTCAAAGCGATATGTCACCTGGCACATAGTCTTGGACTAAACGTAAGTAAAAGATATAATGTGGCTACAAAATACGAAGACTAATGTCTTTAAACCCAAGTGGAAATTAAACAACACAGACTCACAGTGGTAATACTTCATTCTATTAAAATTATTGCCGTTAAATACGTATACATTAGAGATATAGCTGTGTGTGCATGTTGCAGTCAGAAAGAGCCAAACCGGCGACGTCAGAACTGTTATTAACAGCACGTGTTATAGTATAGTTTTGGCTTTTACCATGGCTTTTGTTATTACAAGATGCAAAGGTAATTTATCGTAATGCTACTATATACACTATGAATGCGGAAATAAACCTGTAAGCGCTTATGCAATACTAGTATAATGCTCGCCTCGGGTATCAGTACAATAAAGCTGGTTAAATCAAGCTTAACGTAGCGGTTCGTCGCGCATGCGCAGCGGCTATCCGCATAATTGTACGCATTTATTACCTGCAGAAATGACAGAAGTTTAAATCAAAACGCATAAGTTCAATTCCTGCTGGAGGACCTAAGTACATTTTTCCCAACTGTTCACAGTTTGAAGTTCATTTTTGTTTAATTTTCATCCTCGAAATTCAGTTTAGTGCCACAAATTGAATCTTAACTATGCAGTTGCATGCTAATAGTCGAAAAGCTTTTGCTTTACTCAACGGTTATCGCTAAAAGAATATCGTTCTAGTTTATACATTCCGTCTCATGCGGAGTTCAATTCGCTGCATGTTCATCAAGTGCTCGACCATCGGTTCATCAGATTTAAACAACTGAATTGAATATCCGTCAAATTTTGAAAAGCAGATGAATTGAATCTGTAACTTCCTCTTTCCAAAAAAATTATGTATTTTCCTAATATTATGCGTGCAAGTTTTCTCGCCCGAGTCTCGATCCAAACCAACTGATGGTTTGACGAAACAGATGTTTGAAGGCTTCCCTGTACTTTTGGTCCAGCCAAGCATAAATGATTGGATTGCAGAGACTGTTGAATAGTGGGAGTGTGATTGCTGTGCGATGAATTATGTTTTTTGCATACAAATTGCCTAATTTACTGAACCGTGCACAATGATGTGGATAGTTCCTAAATAACCACAAGAAGATCAAAACAAACCAAGGACTCCAGCAAAGTAGAAATACTCCCATGATGATCACCAACATCCGAATCACTTTCATATCTTGTCGAAGGGTGGCGGTTTGCTGGTTCGGAATATTTGATGTTTGGCCCAGTTTGCCATTCCGAAACATTTTTTGTCTCTTGTGTGCAACCAAAAAAATTCGAGCGTACATTATCGATATAACCAGCACAGGTAGAACGAACATACTTATGAGCAAAATGAAGACGTAATTGTTAGGATCGACTTGAACACATGGTCCGCTTCCTGTAACCAGAATTCCGCTGCTGCCCGAATAAGGCGTAGCTGAGTAAGTGGCAAAGGCAGTTGAAATGAAAATAATGATGAAAATTATTTTCATTGCTTTAGAACTCGTCATTAGGGACTTGTACTGAAGTGGTTTGCTTATTTTGAGATATCGGTCAAAACTGATGATTGTCAGTGAATAAATTGATGTTGCCAACGCAAAGGTATCTATCCACACCATAAAACGACAGAGGTGAAAAGGCATACGATATTGCAATGCATAGTCGAGATAGCGTTTATATAATTTCAGTGGTGCCACAAATAAACCAACCAAAAGATCAGCGACAGCCAAACAAGCGATGAAATATTTATTCGGTTGATGAAGACATCTTTCTCTCCAGGTCACAATCAACACCAACATATTTCCCACAATAGTGAAGATGGTAATGAAAATCAATATAATTTTCATTGATAATGTCAACCGGTCCCTAAATACTTCGAATTTCTCCCGATCTAGCTTTGTGAAATAACTCCTTTCTGTTTGATTTGTGTAATTACAGCCAAGAGTAGTATTATTTAACAACAACGACATTGCAATTCCTGACCCTACACAACAGATCAATATGGTTGAACAGATTCGGTACATAAAGAAACATGCATGCAGGCGTTATCTTTGAAAAAGGGGTAACCTGCACTTATCTTTATATAGTACACGCGAGTGCAAAAGGAAAGTATCAATTTTTAGACGGTCCTATATCGGGTTCTATCGGTAGGAAAAATGTAATAAATTACTAGCCAGCTGTATGAGTGAAATTTCAGCCACACCCAATGTAATTAAAACGGATGATATACTGAGGGGATCAAACTCATTAATCTTCCATATATTTATTGTTTAAATGTATAAATACAATGCATCTATGCCAACGAAAATTCATTATACAAAACAGAGCACGCAGTTCCCGGAGAAGTCGAGAAATTCCTCTTCACAATAATCTTCTTCCGTATTTTGCAATTCAATTTGTTCAAGTTCGCGAGTGTAAATGTCGCGCACAAAACATAAAAACCATTATTTAGTAAGAATAATTTACAGTAAGTCTGAAAGCGTCAGTAAGCAAAATGACCTACGCGTATAAAACATTCCAAGTTATTCACAAATACTCTCGCATCAAATTTCACCGATAAATCTTCCTTTGCAATAACTGTTTGACATTTTGCTTTATCAAGCGAGATTCGAAACATTCAGCAGTAATGATGAGAGATGGATAATTTAAGTCATGGATGATTTTTCAAGCTGAAACATTCCGCATGCTATACTCTAAACGGGACCATAACCTTTTAAACTCACCGCGTTGACAGCTTTGCCAACCATGCCGGGGAACATGATAGCAAAATTCACCGGCAAATGCTTTCAATTCAGGATAGATAGATATGCTATTTAACAATGAACAGTGATTCACACTATATCTTACCTCTGTCGCCTTTGCTTTTTCGATTTTTCTTTACCCTTGCTATATTAAATATTTTTTATATTAAGTATATCTGTGCTAATGTAATCACATTTAGACCGCCGTCATGAGACCAAAAAAAACATGCCAAAATTCTCTTTGTCAAAATAGTGTCTGGTCACTGAAGTTTATTTAATATTTAAACTTTAAAGTTCCAGATGAGACCCTTAAATGTGCTGAGATATTTTGATACGTGTCTCCAGAATCTTAATTTTCTTAGCTCAGAACTCCGCTAAGGCGCACAAATCCTCAGAAACGCGATGCAAGTGATTAAATATGTTTTAATAAAGATTTCAATTAACCCTGTGTGCCTTCGTGGCACATTAAAAACCTATCTTACACCTGTTCCTTTGCTAAATGTAAAACTATAGACCATTAATTTAATACTAGAGCAAAAGTCAAAATTATTTATGAAGCAGTTTCTCGCATTGAGAATGAAGGTAAACTTTTTCCCAACACCCGCAATTTCTTCACCTGAATCTCGATCTAAACCAACTGATGGTTTGACGAAACAGATGTTTGAAGGCTTCCCTGTACTTTTGATCTAGCCAAGCATAAATGATTGGATTGCAGAGACTGTTGAATAGAGGGAGTGTGTTCGCTGCTTGATAAATTATGTTGGCTGCAAACAAGTCGCTTAGATTTCCAAACCATACACAAAGATGTGGAGGGTTAACGAACAACAAATAGGCGACCAAGATAAACCAAGGGCTCCAGCAAAGTATGAATACCCCCATAATGATCACCAACATCCGAATCACTTTCATATCTTGTCGAAGAGCACTAGTTCTCTGGTTTAGGTTGCCAGAGGTTTGGCCAAGTTCGCCATTTCGTAACATATTCTGTCGCTGATGTGCAGCAAGGAAAATTAGAGCGTACATAATCGATATAACAACGGAGGGGAGGAGGAACGTACTTATGAACAAAATAAAGTAGTAAACTTTACGATCAGATCGAAAACAAGAACCGCTTCCTGTAACCAGAATTCCGCTGCTGCCCGATTGAGGTGTGGCGGAGTAAGTGGCAAAGGCAGTTGAAACGAAAATAATCACGAAAATTATTTTCATTGCTTTGGAACTTGTCATTAGGGATTTGTACTTAAAAGGTTTGGTTATTTTGAGATATCGGTCAAAACTGATGAATGTGAGAGTAAAAATGGACGTTATTAACGGGAAGGTATCTATCCATACTATAAAACGACAAAAATGAATGGACATGCCTTTTAACGATATGTAGTTGAGATTGTATTGATACACCTTCAGTGGTGTTGTCAATAAACCAACCAAAAGATCAGCGACAGCCAGACAAGCGATGAAATATTTATTCGGTTGATGAAGACTTCTTTCTCTCCAGGTCGCAATCAACACCAAAGTATTTCCCAGAATTGTGAAGGTGATGACGAGAATCCAAATAATTTTCATTGATAATATAAGTCGATTCATGGATGCTTCGTATTTCGTCCAATCAAGGTTTGTAAAAAGAATCGTTCCTGTTTTATTTATGTAATTACATCCTGGAATAGTAATATTTGCCAATGACATTGCGGTACTCTATATGTAATAGATGAGTATGCATGTTTGAAAATATTTACTACAACATATACGTAGACAGGCTAAAAAAATGAACAATTGTAATCATTTTGGTAAGTAACGTCACATGATAATTAATCATAGAATAGATCTTTCTCACATAGATGTCAAACGCGGAATACAAATGCCACACGAAGTTTGATTAACTGCGAAACTGACGGGCCAGTCAAAATTAGTGACTGGCTAAATTTGCCAGTGGGTACGTTCGTCCCAGAGCCTTGAAAAACTCGGGTTGTATTGGAAAAGAAGCATTGCCGACTTACCTCAATCAGTGCAATACACCCTAGCGTGAAATTAAACTCGATAATCGCGAGTTTCAATTCAAGCTTCGTCGATATAATTGAATTAAATGTGCAATCATGTATGATAGAATCGAATGATTCACCGTCTAAAGAAATCGTTGACCGTTCACTCGAGAGAACAATCAATCTATCGTTACCGTTGTAGTTTTTCAGTTGTGAATGAAATACATTAAGTGGTATAAATTACTTGTCAGTTATAAATGACTTTTGTCAGATTTTAGCCGCGCCCAATGCAAGTAAGTCGGAAATAATACCTCGATCAACTTTGCTAATGCTCCCTTAGTTTCCTTGCAACTCTAATGCCAGAAAAATTCGACATTTTAACACACTACACGCAGTGCCTCGGCCTGAATCAGCTTTTTTTTTATAGAGTAGAAAGCGTAGTTTTTGCCATTTTAATAATTTAACCCGAGAAAGTCGTTATTAAACAGAAAATAACGTTATTTACTAAGTATATTTAGTTCACATCAGTGTGTCGACATCATGTCGAAGCTTCGATAAAGCATAATTGCATTCGATGCATTCAAACACCTGCATATCGAATTTGCCTGAGTTAACCACGATTCACTTTTTTGCCGCAGCTATAATCAATCTAACTTCAATTCCCATCGCTTCAGATGGCTTTGAAAGCTCTATATCTAGGTCTTATTTAAATCTTCACTCGTGTTTACCACGCGAATCTCTCGATGATATTAAAAATCGAATCATACTAATGCCGTATGATTCACATGCATATACCTTTTCAGTTTGAACAACTGTTTCACCGCTTCTTCGTTATGCTATAGTCCCACTACTTTCCGTATCGCTCAGTAGCAAAAAAAAACATTTTGTTTTATCTAGCGTGTATTGATATATAGTTTGACGTGCTTATTTGCTCAAAAAATTTTCACAGTTCGTGCAAGTCAGGATAAATTTACCACGCCAGCTACAAATATAGCTACATTATATATAGTTCTCAATATATCTTACCTCCGTCGGCTTTACCAATTTGCATCTCCGATTTTTCTTTAGCCGAACTATTAAGTATATCTCATTTAATCATGCACATTTAAGACGCGTGTAGTGTGCAAGCAAAACAAACCATGCCAATATTCTCTATCTCTCTTGAAAAAGTATCTGTTCAATGATGTTTATTAACTATCAAAGTTCAAGATCGGATTCGTTGAACATAGCAGAAGTGCTATGAAATTATTTAAAATATTTTGAAACGCATCTCAATGTCTTCTTCTTTGCTCTTACTCTGATAAGGGACACAATTCCTCAGAAACTGACCTTGTGCATGATTATTAATCTTTTAATAAAAACTTTAATAATTAAACCTTCATGGCTTCATGACACGTATACTATTTTATTAATTGTTTTTTTACAATTTATTTGTCTTTCAGTATTAACTTTTCGGTATTATATATTATGTTCTCTGATGATTTAAGTAAATGATGTTTAAATATCCTGGGAAATAGCAAAATATAGTTCGGTATTTAATTTAGATCATTCTTTGGTATTTTTCGGCTGTTCATGTTGTAAAGTGTCACTATAAAAAGTGACAAGTCCTGAACTTAATTTAAACTATTTCACTTCCCCAGTCAAAAAGTACTCATATACTAATATCCAAACCATATTTCATTGTCACGGTGTTTATGGTATACCTGAACTACATACAATGATACAGTAAACATTAGTTTACAACATCAACGAGTTTCTCACATTTTTGGATGACTGAACTCATCCTTTCTTACAAACATTGAATAAGTATGCTGATAAGATGCTTCGTTTACTTTTTTTGCTGAAAATTCCTATTTTCCTGTGTATTTACTGGTGCAAGTTCATTCGCCTGAATCTCAATCCAAACCAACTGATGGTTTGGTTAAAAAGATGTTTGAAGGCTTCCCTGTATGTTTGATCCAGCCAAGCATAAATGATTGGATTGCAGAGACTGTTGAATAGTGGAAGTGTGTTCGCTGTATAAAGAATTATGTTGACCCAAATGTAGTACTTTGGTTTCTTATACCACTCTATCTCATCTGGATAATCTCCGAACATCCAGTAGTAGAGAAGAATAAACCAAGGACTCCAGCAAAGTATAAATACTCCCATGATGATCACCAACATTCGAATCACTTTCATATCTTGTCGTAGAGAAGCGGTTCGCTGGTCAATGGATGCCTGTCCCAGTTCACCATTTCGCAACATTTTTTGTCGCTTATGTGCAACAAGAAAGATTAGAACGTACATAACCGATATGACTAGGGTAGGTAAAAGGAACACAATTATAAACAAAGTGAAGTAGAAATCGCTGAAATCCGCTTCACGACAACGACCCAAGTTACCTGTTCCTAGAACTCCAGTACTCCCGGAACGAGGTGTTGCAGAGTAAGTGGCAAAGGCAGTTGAGATAAAAACAATGATGAAAATTACTTTTAGCGACACGGAACTCGTCATTAAGGACTTGTACAGAAGTGGTTTGCTGATTTTGAGATATCGGTCGAAACTGATGAATGTCAGTGTGTAAATGGATGTTGTTAAGGCGAAGGTATCTATCCACACCATAAAACGACAGAGATGATTCGACAATTCATATGATAACTTATAGTTGAGAAGGATCCGGAGTTGATATGCCTTCAATGGTGCCACAAATATACCAACCAAAAGATCAGCGGAAGCGAGGCAAGCGATGAAATATTTGTTTGCTTGATGAAGACTCTTCTCTCTCCATGTTGCAACCAAAACCAACGTATTTCCCAGAATGATACAGATGATGACGAGAGTCAATATAACTCTCATGGATAATACCAGTCGATCCATGAATACTTCGATTTTTGTCCAGTCGATGCTCGTCGAATTACTCCTTTCTGTTTGATTTGTGTAGTTACATGCTGCACAGGTGATGTTTGCCAACGTCATTGCAATATCTGACCCTACATGAGAGATAGAATCGAAAGATTCACAAAGCTATCTGTAATCTAAGCCAGACAATAAATATCACTGTTCACTCATTTGATCGATCGACACATAAATGAGTATCTATGCGTTATCGCTGTCGTTCCATTGTATCTTTATAATTAACGTGACCCAGTTGCCCTCTCATGCAACCTAGTGCCCAGGGTACATCCCATGGCCGCGAGTTTTGTCGGGATTAATGACTTCGACATTTAATGACTACGAATAACTACTATCTGAATGGCTACGAATCGTCTGAATTAATAACCTTGTGTATACTTTAAGCCTCGAAATTCCCATTCCACAGCTGTCAGATGCGTATGATAAGCTGTCAAAAGGTTGCAGAATGCGTGTTCAGACAAAATAGAACTTTTTGAAGTTGTTCAATAGTTAATAACGATACAGAAACGCACAATTGTGAACCAGTGATTAGATTTTCGGGTTGAAACTTCATAAAAACAAATTTCTGCGATTGTATATGATGCATTGACAGCATTGCTATATAGAGTAAAACTTAATAAGTTAACGCTCAGAAATAATGAGACGAACTTAATTATGCTTGTGTTATGAGTATATGTTTTGGTAAAACAAGCCCCGTTGAATCGTAATAAGATCATTATAGCCTTTCGAGACAGAGACTTACTTAGCAAATAACTTCTAAGACATTTTTTTAAATTTAAGCTTCATTGATGAAAAATATTTGCGCAATGAGGAAAGATTTTGTGCAAAGATAAAATGGGATATAGATTTATCAATATACCATTTATTATTTAGACATACACTATACTATATATACACGCACGTTATTGCAAGTATGGATATACCAAAATTAATGTGTAGGTATACGTTTAAACTTAGGTTACAGGGGAACGGACTCTTTTAAAGTGGGCTATACTATAAAGTCTAGATACTTCTTAAATATTTCATAGTATTACATTTCTTTCTCTGTTAAGATAGATACACGATTCCTCATGCAGAAACTCATTGCTGAGAACTAATGTTTTAATAAAGATCTCAATCAACTCCGTATGCATTGATGACACATTATCAATCTTTTTTACACCTGTTTCTTTGCTGAATGTAAACTCTACTTCTCAAGCCGGCCTTTCTTTTAATTAAAATCAGAAAAGACTTTACTTTTTAGTCTATTTGCCCTTTACTGCATTCATGGTGATGTGTAGGCCAGGTATAAGTTGATATCTTAAACTGATTTCGCAGAATTGGGTGAAGATTGGTCCATTAGCTATTTATTCGGACGTCTTTCTTGTAAAGAGTCGAAGGGTTAACTAACTGCTAACATGCAATGCTTCATTAAACATTTTTTTCTTAAAGTTTAAAATTTTACATTTAACATATTCCTGTATATTAATTAACAGTGCAAGTTCCCTCGCCTGAATCTTGATCCAAACCAACTGATGGTTTGATGAAAAAGTTTTTTAAAGGCTTCCCTGTATGTTTGGTCCAGCCAGGCATAAATGATTGGATTGCAGAGACTGTTGAATAGTGGAAGTGTGTTTGCTACGAAAATAATTATGATGTCCCAAAAGTAAGAGTTTGGATTTTTGTACCACTCATTCAAATTTGAATAATCTCCGAAAATCGAGTAGTAGACCAGAATGAACCAAGGACTCCAGCAAAGCATAAATACTCCCATTATGATCACCAATAACCGAATCACTTTCATATCTTGACGGTGAACAGCAGTTTGCTGGTTTAGGTCAATGGATGCCTGTCCCAGTTCGCCATTTCGCAACATCTTTTGTCGCTTACGTGCAACACGAAAGATTAGAACGTACATAACCAATATGACTAGGGTAGGTAAAAGGAACACAATTATAAACAAAGTGAGGTAGAAATTCATTGGATCATCAGCTTCACGGCAACGGCCCCAGCTCCCTGTTTCCAGAACTCCCCCGCTATCGGAAAGAGGGGATGCGGAGTAACTAGCAAAGGCAGTTGAGATTAAAACAATGACAAAAATTACTTTGAGCGATATGGAACTCGTCATTAGGTATTTGTACTGAAGTGGTCTGCTGATTTTGAGATATCGGTCAAAACTGATGAATGTCAGTGTGTAAATGGATGTTGTTAAGGCAAAGGTATCTATCCACACCAAAAAACGACACAAGTGAATGGACATCCTATCTAACAATTTATAGTCGAGAAGAAACCGGAGGTTATACACCTGCATTGGTGCTAAAAACAAACCAACCAAAAGGTCAGCGACAGCGAGACAAGCGATAAAATACTTGTTTGGTTGATGAAGACTTCTTTCTCTCCATGTTGCAACCAAAACCAACGTATTTCCCACAATAATACAGATGATAATGAGAATCAATATAATTCTCATAGATAATACCAGTCGCTCCATGAATACTTCGATTTTTGTCCAGTCGATGGTCGTCGAATTACTCCTTTCTGTTTGATTTGTGTAGTTACATCCTGCACAGGTGATGTTTGCCAACGTCATTTCAATACCTGACCCTACATGAAAGATGAATATTGTTCAACAGAATCAGAATAGACGTTTCCCTTTTAGCTTCTAGCGCGCAATACGGTACGGTAGTTGATTATCAAGGCCGATTTAAGTTGTGATTTCGCCATGTTCAGGAGTAGTTTAGTTTAAAAAAGAAGCAAAAAGAATTGGCTAAGTTTTCGTACAAACAAAATCGTTTCTAAGCAGAGAGATATTGCAACCCATAGTTGTTTGATAATCAACAACCGTCAGGCATTGCACGCTTGAACGTTTAAAGGGGGAAGGTCTATTAGATACAAAAATCTATCTCATGTCGTTGCTTCCTCGCTTTGGTAAATTCACACATGATAACCAATAAAGAAATATGCGTTAACGTTGTAGAATTTTCATTATACCGCGTCGGTGAACCAGTAGCTTTCTTAATAACTCAACCTCTGCTCAAACAGAATAGCTATTTCCTGTCATCTTTCGGCGAATATAGAAATATACTGCATATAATGTCGCCTATCCACCTTACTCCTAGAATCTGGGAGGCCTCAAGAATTATATGAATATACTGATACTATAGGGAGAGAAATAATTATTAAAGCTGCATTGCCTAACCTTAATCAGTAATACTGCAAACGATTTTTAAGTAAATTCCCTTTTTTGTGCTCTTCGGTAGTAATAAGATTTCCTTAGACGAATCCCTGTTTCATGTTTTGACGAGTTTGTAAGTGTTTGTTAAAAGAAGGTTTTCGAAAATAGGGCCCACTTTTAATTTAGAATAAATTTGCCATGTTTCAACGCGCAACAAATCTTCATTATTTCACAGCATATCCTACCTGAGTCGGCTTCTCCTGGTTTGCAGTCTTGCAGTAAGGTTCGAGGCTTCAATGTTATATTTTAATTTGGCGTTGTCGTTTATATAATGAAATATTCACAAAGACACCTTTATATTAAACAGAACAAACCATGCCAAAGTTTTCGAAAAAATGTCTGTTCAATGAGGTTTATACACTTGTCAAAATTCAGGATCGTGCTGCTGTAAAGATAGAATACTTATTTCATCAAAGTCTTTTTCCTCGCTTTTCGCTAAGGTGCAAAATTCTTCATAAACTCGTTGATGATTATTATTGTGTTTTAATAAATATTTAATCAACTCTGTATGCCTTCATGACACGTTACTAGTCTATATTTACACCTGTTTCCTTGCGGAAAGTGAAACTCTACATCTTTAATTTTTCTTTAATTAAAGTCGGAAAAGACTGCCACAGGGCCGTGATGAAGCACGCGTCAACCAGCTCTTCGGGCATGGCCTACCAAATCCATCATATATAGTCATTCGGCGATCCTCTCTAGTTACAAAGTGCTGTTTCATAACGTTAGCATTATTTTAGAGTTTTATATATAGGTACATGTCTGTTTATTTCGGTATTTATGAATACTTTTCCCTATTTGACCCTTTAAGCTGACTTCTTTTTATATAATTATGCTGAGAGTGATATTCGTCTATTATTAATACTGAAAACGTGATAAGATTCCTTATTTAGTATTTTTCTTGAATATTTACACTAAATCCTGCATATTTACTGGTGCAAATTAATTCTTTCGTCCGAATCTCGATCCAAACCAACTAATGGTTTGATGAAAAAGATGTTTGAAAGCTTCTCTGTATGTTTGATCCAGCCAAGCATAAATGATTGGATTGCAGAGACTGTTGAATAGAGGAGGTGTGTTTACGGCTTGAAGAATTATGTTGACCTCATACCAGCGGCTAGGATTTTCAATCCATTCACTCGAATTTGAATGGTCAGCGAACACCCAGTTTGTGACAGAAATGAACCAAGGACTCCAACAAAGTAGAAATACTCCCATGATGATCACCAACATTCGAATCACTTTCATATCTTGTCGAAGGGTACTACTGGCTGTTCGCTGTTGCAGGTTAATGTTTGTTTGACCCATGTCGCCATTTCGCAACATTTTTTGTCGCTTATGTGCAACACGAAAGATTAGAGCGTACATAATCGATATGACTAGGGTAGGCAGAAGGAACATACTTACGATCAAAACAAGGTAGAAATATTTGGAATCCATGGTAAAACAAGGACCAACGCTCCCGGTAGCCAGAATTCCTGCGCTTTTAGAAAGAGGAGTCGCAGAGTAAGTGGCAAAGGCAGTTGAAATAAGAACAATGGCAAAAACGATTTTCTTTGCTCTAGAGTTCGTCATCAGGTACATGTACTTAAGCGGTTTGCTGATTTTGAGATATCGGTCAAAACTGATGAATGTCAGTGTGTAAATGGATGTCGTTAAGCCAAATGTATCTATCCAAACCACAAAACGACAGAGGTGAATGGGCATTTTATATTGCAATTTATAACTGAGATCTTGATTGATCGGAAGTTGATACAACTTCAGTGGAGCTAAAAACAAACCAACCAAAAGATCAGCGACAGCCAGACAAGCGATGAAATGTTTATTTGGTCGATGAAGACTTCTTTCTCTCCAGGTCGCAATCAACACCAGCATATTTCCCACGATCGTGAAAATGATGATAAAAATCAATATAATTTTCATTGATAATCCAAGTCGCTCCATAAGTACTTTGTATTTAGCACAATCGATGTTTCTCGAATTATTCTTTTCTGTTCGATTTGTGTAATTGCATCCCGGAACGAACGACATTGCAATACCTGCCTCTATAGGTAAAGAATGATATAGTTTCACTGACAGATTCAATGGACCGGCAGAACAGATATTGTTTATACAAAGGGCTACAGCTACCTGCGCCTGTCTATATACTGTAAGCCAGGCAATGTACGTACGTCATTCACTTTTGTAAATCATCACCTGGTCTTCAATCATTCCTGGTCTCCGATCCAAGATAGCTGATGTGACAGAATATAGTTTTCTGCGTCTGTGGGATCAACGATAACCGATTTTAACAAATTAGCGCCAGGAGTAAGCTCTTATCGCTTCTCAAATGCAGAAACTCAGAAATACGAGTGCAATATTCAGTAGTCAATTCTAGATCTTATTTGGTTGTGAAAGTAGAGAAGACCACAGTCAAAAGTATATAGATCAGTGTCAAATTCATGTTGTCAGCAAGTCATAAAGTCTGAAACTCACCCGCATCTACAATGCAATCAAGTCATAAGGTAATCAGGTTTTTTTTTATTTTTTTAACTTTTGAACTACAATCGCCGTGTAAAACAAGTCTCATTGCATCGAGAGAGGATCAATTGCATTCCCCAAAACAGTTTTCTTTTTGATACTCATATATTGATTATATTTTGTATATTTTATCGTCAATATTTCAACACTGTAAATTTGAAAGTTCCGATTGTAATCTATTAAAAAATTTTCATTAAAGTAATAAAAAAAAGTTATTAATTAAATACATGTTAATATCTACTTTGTCGACAAAATGTCGAAGCTTCAATAAAAATTTACAAACTCTAGGTAATTGCGTTTTACTCTGGCTTACGGCGTTTTTTGCTAAGCGTTTTTTTGCAAAAACGTGAGCAAGATGAAAAAAAAGAACTAGCTGTGATGATTAAAGGCATATAACCTAACCATAGGACATTTTTATACCCAACCATTCCGTGCGGTAGTTTCCGGAATTGTGACAATTTTTACGCTTCAGCTTTCTTAGTATCTACTTTTGAGCCGAAGAACACGGTAGTTGATTAACGACGTCAGATATTCTCAAGTTTCAACGTATTGTTTAAAATGAAATTCTCCAAATACGTTATACCAGAAAAATGCCATGTCACTATTTATGAAATATTTATACATAAATATATAGGGTATATCCTACCTATGTTGGCTTTTCTTCAGTTTGGCTACAGTTTGATGTCTTTATACTTATAGTCCTCTTTCTTCAATAGAGGTTTTTTTACTATTATGAAGTCAAAAAGAAAAATTATTAAAGGGCGCTGCTGCAAAGTATCTTTGTGTATTTTTACTTAAGACGCCCCTCTTTAACGTTTAATAAATATTTTAATTTACTTGCATGAGACGTTTTAATCTGTTTTTGCACCTGCTCCGCAAAACTCTACCTGCTCTGCTCTTTTTTATTTAACTCGGAAAAGATCCCTCCTTTTGGAATGTGGCGAAGCATTTTGGTTCGCGACACAATCGTGGCTTCCTGACAAATCCAACATGGCTACACTTGTAGCTACACTCGGCGCGTGTTGTCCTGGCTAAGGGAGTTGGATTTCCATATGCAACGCATTATAAATTAGCGGCTAATTTTTCTAGCGTAAATTCAAAAGTTGACCCAGGTAATAAATTGTTATGTAGTCGCCAAAAAGAAGAAAATCTCACAATCCCGGAACAACTCGTCTATCAAATGAACCCCCAAAGTATGAGAACGATTGCGGTGGTTAAGGCCGATTTCCACTTACAGCGAAATCGTTCGCCAGTGAAATATTTGCATGTTTTCTTTTGAATTTTAACAGGATAAATAAATTAGTTCGACTTGACTGCTGTCAATTCAAAAGAAAATACGCAAATATTTCGCTAGCGAACGATTTCGCTGTAAGTGGAAATCCGCCTTTAAACTAAATTAGATGAAACGTATGTCAAAATGATAAACAAGCAGTTTCTTGCGTTTAACCTGATGGGAAGCTTCTTTTCGCTTCTTCTCGTAGCCTTCAATATAACTGAAATACCGTTGCAAGTTCCTTCACCTGATTCTCGATCTAAACCAACTAACGGTTTGACGAAACAGATGTTTGAAGGCTTCCCTGTACTTTTGGTCTAGCCAAGCATAAATGATTGGATTGCAGAGACTGTTGAATAGCGGGAGCGTATTTGCTGCTTGATAAATTATGTTGCCCCAGTAGATGTCGCTCATATTCTTGTACCATTTATTTAAATTCAAAAGATCACCAAACAACAAGTAGGAGATCAAAACAAACCAAGGACTCCAGCAAAGTATAAATACTCCCATAATGATCACCAACATTCGAATCACTTTCATATCTTGTCGAAGAGTGGCAGTTTGCTCGTTAAGGTTAGTCGAGGTTTGGCCCAGTTCGCCATTTTGCCACCTTTTTTGTCGCCTGTGTGCCACAAGAAAAATCAAAGCATACATAATTGATATAACGAGGATAGGTAGAAGAAACACACTTATGAACAAAAGGAGGTAGTATTCTCTAGGATCGGCTTGAAGACACGGCCCGTTTCCTGTGATCAGAATTCCGCTGCTACCCGATTGAGGTGTTGCGGAGTAAGTGGCAAAGGCAGTTGAAATGAAAATAATGATGAAAATTACTTTCGTCGCAATGGAACTTGTCATCAAGGATTTATACTGCAGCGGTTTGCTGATTTTAAGATATCGGTCGAAACTGATGAATGTCAGTGTATAAATGGATGTCGTTAAGGCGAAGGTATCTATCCACACCATGAAACGACAAAGGTGAATCGACATTTTTGATCGCGATACGTTATCATGACGCATTTGATACACCTTCAGTGGTGCTAACACTAAACCAACCAAAAGATCAGCGACAGCCAAACAAGCGATGAAATATTTATTTGGTTGATGAAGACTTCTTTCTTTCCAGGTCGCAATCAAAACCATAGTATTTCCCAGAATAGTTGAAATAATGATAAAAGTCAATAAAATTTTCATTGATATCTCCAGTCGCTCAAAAAATAGCCCGATCTTCGTCCAGTCGATGTTTGTCGAATTATTCTTTTCTTTTTGATATGTGAAATTACATCCTAGAGTGCTTCTTGTTTGATTACATCCCACCGTTGTAATGTTTACCAAAGCCATTGCAAACCTGCCCCTAGGTCAAAATGAATATAGTGAAACGGACTCCATAAGCAAAATTCTATATGCATATATGATTATTTATGGTATCAAGTTTATGTTGCCCATTTGGTGAAATCCAAGTACTTATGCTCGCTAGCTCACCTTAGCAACTGATCTGTATATAAAGTGGTAGTTTACGGTAACGAGAAATATAATCTCTCGTTCTTATCTGTCTTCATCAGGGATGAAGACACTAGACTGGAATGTTGCAATTGAACCGTTGGCTCGTTGTGTGGTGATTGCTTTTATGATCTCGGTATACGAGAATAGGTCCTAGGAATTTGTGTTCCTCAACAAAGGGTCTGCGTGCGAGGTCGATTTCACAGGGGTATATAAAATTATTTCTACAGTTAATTAATAGAATATACATGGTTTGGAGAGTATTTTCACTAAAGTTGTAATTACATAAAAATAATAAACTCCTTTCAAAGCGGACGAAAGTATAAATAACGACTGGTGTTTTATAAAGTACAACTATTCGCGGTAAATACACACGGTTTACCCCCAAAAAAGTGCCTACTATTAAAATCACATTTCTTGCTGCGAACCTTTGTAGTTATATACTTTTAGAAAACTTTAAGAGCTTCAATAACAAACATCACCACGAAAATGTCAAATCACAAATTCGTCTCACCGCGCCAATACGAGTGCGAACGGTGCAAATGACTACAGGACGGCGGATATTAATTTTGATGTTAAGGAAAGGGGATTGTTTATTTGTGTGATCTTTTTTGCTTTTTTCGCATTGCTTTATTATTTAGCCGAAGTTATAATAATTCCGCCATTCACTCAAGTTAAATACCCAGATGTCACAACCCACGTTCAAAACACAGCCTGCATGCATATCAGTCCACAGAATATTTTACCTTTGGATTCGCTTTTTCGATCTTCAATTTTCCTGTAGTTTGATCGTTTTTGATCGGTGTTACGTATATATTATTTAAAAAGCAGTTTAAATTTGATTTCATCGACGTGTACTGCTCAGTATAAATTTTTATTTACCTTTTATGCTCCCGAGACGTTTTAATCTATTTTTACTTAAGATCTTCAATTTTAAAGTAGTGTGATCGTTTTTGATCGGTGTTACGTATATATTATTTAAAAAGCAGTTTAAATTTGATTTCATCGACATGCACTGCTCAGTATAAATTTTTATTTACCTTTTATGCCTCCGGAGACGTTTTAATTAATCTATTTTCACCTGTCTCTTGCCGTGAAACTGTTTCACTATATTTGGATATTAATTTATTAAACTGGGGAACAACATTATACCAAGGACCGTAGCGCTGAGTAACTTGTCACAAGGCGAGGTATATTATTATATAAATGACCATTATTATTTTATAATATTTTATATTATTAATTAAATATAAAATTATTTATATATATTTTTTTCATATTATTTTAGGTTTTAGGTTGACGTAATATTTTCTAAATTTTTAAACTGCTCCCGGAGAGGTCTTCCTAAAGATGCATAAAATCTTCTTAATTCCCATCAACGTAAAGCTCTAATATTTATTTCTATCGAGCAAAATTCCGCGATTTTAGGCAGTTGTTATACCACATTTGAAGCGAAGTTGTTTGAAGACGCTGCCACGCGGGCCCACGCTGCTCCCTAGGGGGTTACGTGCAGGGACTATCAATGTATACCTTTCAAATACTTTGCCTTATATAGGTGAGTTAGTATTATCTTTAAGTAAATTCGCAAAATCTTTGGTTATCTAAGATTATATTTAAGTAAATTTGCAACTTGCGAGTCAATCTCAATATCTCGAGGAAAAAATGGTGAGTGCATGTTTACACAAAAAATGAGATGAAACCGATGATGTAGAATATACTTGTTTTCCCAAAATTAAAACTCCCTGATTTATTGATACATAATTATTGTATTACTTTTTATATTGGACATTTTTATCCGAAAAAGTTGTTGTAAACTATATATTATTTTCTATTACGTTTACGCGTAGCAAAGTGTTTCTAATCGAGTCAATCTCGACATCAACATCCACACAATAGTTCATTGAACGAGGTCCTTTTCAACAGCAAAAAAGTCGTATTCTTCATCAGTCAATTTTCATTTTCTTCAAGTTTCCTCATCCCCATTCACGATTCAAAATGACAGATGATTTGCTGGAACATGTGTTTGAAAGCTTCTCTGTATTTTTGATCCAGCCAAGCATAAATTATTGGATTGCAGAGACTGTTGAATAGTGGAAGTGTTTGTGCAACGAAAAAGATTATGTATTTGCGATACAAGTAGCTTAAAGACTTAAAAAAATCACCCCCATTTGGATAGTTTTGGAATATAAAGATCGAAATGAACCAAGGACTCCAGCAAAGTACAAATACCCCAACAATAACCAACAACATCCGAACTACTTTCATATCTTGTCGTAGCGTTGCAGTTTGCTGGTTGCGGTTGTTGGATGCTTGGCCAAGTTCGCCATCCCGCAACATTTTCTGTCGCTTATGTGCAACAAGAAAAATTAGTGCGTACATAGTCGATATGACTACCGTGGGTAGAAGAAACGCAATTATAAACAAAATGTGGTATAAATGGTCCTGTGTATGAGGATTCTTAGAACATGAGCCGACCCCAGTCCCTAGAATTCCTTCGATCCCAGAACCGGGGGTGGCGGAGTAAGTGGCAGAGACAGTTGAAATTAAAACGATGATGCCAATTATTTTCATCGCAATGGAGCTTGTGATTCGTGATTTGTACTGAAGTGGTTTGCTGATTTTGAGATATCGGTCAAAACTGATGAATGTTAGGGTAAAAATGGAGGCTGTTAACGCAAAGATATCTATCCACACCATAAAGCGACAGAGGTGAATAGACATTCCAGATCGCGTTTTATGGTCAAGATAGAGTAGTTGATACAAATTCAATGGTGCCACGAACATGCCAACCAAAAGATCAGCGACGGCCAAACAAGCGATAAGATACTTATTTGATTGGTGAAGACTTCTCTCTCTCCAGGTCGCAATCAAAACCATGGTATTCCCCAGAATGGTGAAGATGATGGTGAAAATGAATATAATTTTCATTGATAACGCAAGCCGCTCTAAAAACACTATGAACTTCGCCCATTCAAGTTCTGTCAAATAACTTTCTCCTGTTCGCTTTGTGTTATTATATCCCATACTAGTAACGTTTCCCAACACCATTTCTTATCTTGAGTCTTGACCCTAAGTCATAAATAAATATTTGCCAAAAATAAAAATTAAAACCAGGATCAATACAGGTCAGGCAAATTAACGTGCCTGAAATAGTTTATCCTTTATCGGCCATTGGTAAAGAAAATACTAAGGTTATTCTGGAAACAATTCAATGCATGTTGCATTTTGCATTATCGATTTTTTCTACAAAACAGTACACATATTAATGTTCTTGTATATTTGCATGGTCACATCATCAATAGCTAAGTAGGCTATGCTTGTAGCTACACCACGTATACAAGTAACCGTTAACCCGGACCAAAAGCTATGCAGTATTAAGGCTCGAAGGCCCGCCTTCATTAATTGCACTGCATGATGAAGGCCCGGGTTAACGGACCGAAAGCTTTGCCAAGGGACCAGTTTATTTGTATTTTTTGCCCCTGGGTACCATCTTGGTCAGTCATGCATGCAAAATTTAACCAATTCCCACCATCGCTTCAGATGGCTTGAAAGCTCTATACCTAGGTCTTATTTATATCTTCACTCGTGCATGCATGTTTACCACGCGAATCTCTCGATGATATTAAAAATCGAATCATACTAGTGCCGTATGATTCACATGCATATACCTTTTCAGTTTGAACAACTGTTTCACCGCTTCCTCGTTATGCTATAGTCCCACTACTTTCCGTATCGCTCAGTAGTACATCATTATGAATGAGTACGTGTGTTGGACAAAAATTCGTTGTTTCTATCGCCGTAAGCTTTACTTTGCTTTGTACTTCGCTCATCGCAGTCGTTCGTGTCTATATTGCATTCATGACGACTATATATATTATATTATATTAATAAACTGTGATTAATAAAGATTTCAATATACTTGTTTCTTCAGTCTCCTAACATATATTTACACCTGCTTCTCTTTATGTGCGGTCTCCCTTCTTAATTAAAAAGTTAAGGTAGTTGAAAAGAATTTGCTCGCACTTCTCGGCAACCACGATAAGGTACATTTCCGATCCTATGTGTACGAGCCCACGCTTCTGTGTCTCTTTTCTCTGGTTCAAGTTTGCAGAAGGGCGGCTATCGTGTCAATTCGTGGCGCGTAATAAAGAATATAGGAAATTTTAAATTTGTAAACTTCAAGACTATATTATTTTCCCATCTTTAATATTTCACATAACTAAACCTTGCATGCAGGTGTATTAAATTTTTCAGTGTCCCTTAATTTCGTTGCGACTTTTCGTTCTGATAAGACGTTTTCATCTTTGAAATACGAGTCGGGGATGTCGCAGCACCGCCACCTCCCGCCCACCCCCGCTTAGTTCATGCTTTAATTTTTATTGTCAAAGATTTGCCGACATCGAGACAGCTAACTGTTAAATGACGAGTACGAAGTTTGCCGTTTGGCGGTTAGCGGTTTGCCGAAATGGGAACAATGCTTCCATTATTCTTTTACACTCACACTTGAACCGTTGAAATTACACTTTGTTCCATTATTTTTTTTAACTTATACTTACACTTGAACAGTTTACAGTGACTTTACACCTTGAAATACGATATGCTCATGTCTAATACTATTTAGGTTCTCTACGCTTGTAAAAAAATGTGAAGTCTACAGTGTTTATGTTTAGAAATCTTGCAAAAACATGCAAAAGTTTGGCAATTTTCACATCATATTTTGATGAGCAGAACAGATGCGTATTGCGAACTTGAATCATTGAAATATTTCATTTTTTACTGAGTTATTTTATCTGCCTCTTCGCGAACGTAATTCTAATGGCTTGATTGTCGCGTTAATGGGATTCTTGTGTCTGGTTGTTGATCAGTATTGTATTCTCGACACATCATTCGGCGAAACAGACGTTTGAAAGCTTCTCTGTACGTTTGGTCCAGCCAGGCATATATTATCGGATTGCACAGGCTGTTAAATAATGGTAAAATGTTTGCTACGAATGTGATTATCATTGTTGAACTGTTCGTCCAATTAATCAGCTTCGGATAGGAAAAATATAATAATAGCAATATAAACCAAGGTCCCCAGCAAAAAATGAAGGCCCCTATGACGAGCATTAACATTCTAATCAGCTTCATATCTTGATGAAAAACAGTATGTTGGTTCTGATTGTTCAAAGATTGTCCCAACTCTCCGTTTCGCAGCATTTTTTGTCGTTTATGGGCAACAAGAAAGATAAGAGCGTACATAGTCAATATTGCAATCGCGGGGAGAAAAAACGCGGTGATTGTCAAAAAGGTGTAGAATTCTCGGATGGTATTAGGATCGGCATCTGAGCAGTCGCCCATGCCGGAAAACAGAATTCCTCCGCTTCCCGAATGAGGAATGGCAGAATAAGTGGCGAGGAAGGTTGAAAGCAAAACAATAATGAAAACTATTTTCAACGATATGGAAGTGGACATTCGTGATTTGTACTGAAGTGGTTTGCTAATTTTAAGATATCGGTCAAAACTGATGAATGTCAGGGTATAAATTGACGTCGTTAACGCAAATGTATCAATCCACACCATGAAACGACACAGATGAACGGAGTTCCGTGATTCTTTCGCATACATTCCATAAAACGTTAATGGCGCTATAAATAAACCGGCCAAGAGATCAGCGACAGCGAGATAAGCAATAAAATATTTGTTCGGTTGATGAAGGCTTCTCTCTTTCCAGGTCGCGACTAAAACCAAAGTGTTTCCAAGAATTGTGAAGATGGCGATAAGAAGGTATAAAATTTTGCCAGTCAATTGAACTATTTCCTCCAGGCCTTTGTCGTTAGTATCGTTTGTCAAATTCCCCATCTTTGTTATGTTTGAGTGACCATATATGATTAGAGTAATATATTTTCCATGTCGTCACAACGTTTGATTCAACCTACAGATAAGATATATAGATATATGTATAGTCTGGTAAACAAAAATGCAGGTTAAACAAATTCTTCTGAAAGCTACGTAAAGCCTATACTTTTACTTCCATTAGCTGTTGGTTGTAACTCGGGCCCCAACTAAAATGGGGCCTTCGCATTGGCTGAGAATCTCCGAATCACACGAGCAGCCGGTACGCTTTCACACCAAAACAAGCATATATAATTAGAGTGAAGACAAATTTAATATGGAATTAATTAATTAAATCTCAAAACACTAATTGGAAAGACATGCAGCGAATTGACTTCAATGGATATGGCCATACTTGAAATGCAACGCGAAGAAGAAATATAAACGTAAGCATGCAGCATCGAGAGGATCTTTCTTTGACATTGTTAATTTGACAAATGCGCGACATACGTTTAGCTTTTTAAATATCACAACATGCAATTTGTTCTTAATTGACAAGTAAAAAAGTTGACCTTGAACACGTTGAAGCATGAATATGCGCCTAAGATGCGAATATATATATATATAAATATATATATATATAGATATTTACATTGTTGTTGTGATATGAACAAGCTGGCTAATTATTCCCAAGGAAATTTAAAAACGCTTTTTCAAGCCTGTCTTAGCTTCAAGCAAGTCAATTATTTCAATTAACCTTCTGTATTATCTTAATTGTTATTAAAATTTTCATCATTCAAAAGCCATGTGTCATATAGATTTCGTAATTCTTTTATGTGATACCGACATCTTGTTCCTATCTCTCCCCATGTTCATTGGTTTGCGCTGTAAATAATAAATATATACCCCATACGTCTACCTTTCTTTCTCGAACTGATGTTGCATATAGGCTAATAAAGGTTGATTATTAGCTTTTAGCTCCATACAGACGAATAATTTGGGAAGAAAGCGACTTTAATATTACAGTGTACAACACGATCAGACATTCCGTTTTTCAATATGTGTACACCTAGAGATATGAGCTATTGAGCTACAGGCAATTTTTAGTGAGTACAGAACTTTAGCCTTTATACATAAGAGCAACAACCAAAATAAATCTTATTAGATAAATTGAATAGTTTTCATCTCTACACTGAAAATGTGACGAAAGTGATTCTGACAAAAGCAAATTAAGAATGCCATGCAAATAATTTGACAATCGCGCAGCTATACCACAAGCTATGGCCGCGCGCGTGACTAGAACTCGATCCTTACTTGCGTGTGTTTCATGAAGCACGATACTCGATATGTATACGTGAAAGTTAAAGGCGGAAATAGGAATAGACCGTGAATACCAGCAGAAACACGAATTCTACCAATCTCACCTCGCGAATTAACCCTTACGTGACGCTAACCTTAACACTGATATTACATTATACGCCTTTCGCAAGACAATTTCTCCATTATATCTCAGCGAATTTTATATTGAAGGTTTCATTGTGCAGTTTTTCATATTTATCCTAAACAAGCAGTTTCAGATGAAGTCCGATGTCCGTCCTTTGCTCTCATGCGTGCAATGGAATAAATAAAGTTCACGCATCCGTTATCTGTGGATGAATTTGTATCGAGCAAAATATATCTTACCTAAACTAGTCCCCTTTAATAATTGTTTCAGTCTTTGGATGTCCTTCAGTCTATCAAAAGTAGTATGGCTTCAGGCATCGGGAACCATTAAAACTGACTTCTGGGCTGAACGGTTTGGACGGAGATCTTGCATCAGTTGAATCTTGTATTGATAAGAATCGAGACAATATTATACTGCGGGTAGTGAGGCCTGAAATGGGCGGACAAAGCGGCGCTGTCTGGCAGGTTTAAAAGTTTGAAAAAAAATGTCAGCTGTCAGTTTTCAGTGGCCTGGATGATATCACGTTTTCGCCGATAATTAGGTCCACAATTAAATTTTGAAAGGAAGTTGAGTCTCAAATCACACACTGAAACTTTTACAATTTCCTTTATAATACAAGTCTACCTTTGAAATTAAAATCAGCCGCATAGCGGCATTTGCTTAAAATACCTCATGGGTATACGAAGCATATCAAATAAGTAAACCCATTAATTAACCTAAAAAAAATTTATCCTCTTTGGGAGTTAAAATGCATTCTAAGCTCTGTAAATGAAAAAGAACAGTTTTATCAAATCGTTTTTCTAGCACACGCGCCACGTTGAATTGATTTAAACACTTTTGCATTAATTAACTACGTCCTGTTGATTGTACACATGGGAATTGTCAAATTCCAGCCATAAGTTCGCGGCTAATTTGAATTTCATAGGTGTCAGTTTTTTTTACTCACCCTGTATAATACATCGTTTTATTTACATTTTACTCTCTGTTATATTTTATTTTGAAAGTCCATTTGTTGGACAATTGAATCAGTTTTAATTTTAAATATTCAAAAATCGACGCACTATACCAAACAAAAGAGTTTTCAAACTGCGGCCTTTTGAGTTTTTCCATATGTGGACAGTAGCGTAGCCAACCTGTCGATTTGTCCCGCTATGCTAATATTTTAGTGTTCACTGACTGTGAAAACAATAGTTTTCCAAAGACATGAATAATTATAATAACTCGAAATTTACATAGCGGGACAAAATCGTCAGGCTGGCTACGCCACTGTATGTGGGTAAAAGATAATAACACACTATGGCACTTTAAGATTAACGTTTACGGCGAACCGCCAAATTTGGTAGTTGCCAAATTTACATCTCTTTAAAGTAGCATTGCAAGTTGCAAGAAAAATTGCACCGTGTGACACGGCCTTAACAAGTTTGCCGCTTCCGGTAAGCGATCTGCCGCGTTAAGTGAATAGAGAGTTTTTATCATGATATCGTAGTTCGATAGTCGCTTATTAAAATGGAGGTTCTTTTCAACCAATGAGTTTGGGGGGGAAGGTACCGGTCAAGGGACATCTGCTGGGTTTCTGTGTTTTATATGTTCATTTTCAGTGGACTAACGCGGCGAGAGTACGGAATTGATACTCGGTTTGAAGTTTTGAAACAGTCCACTGATGAACTGACGTTGTTTAAAGTTAGTCAACTTATTCGAGACGGGCCGGTTGTTCAAAGCTAGGTCAGCGCTATAACCCTGGGTTAAATTTTAAACCAATGTTTTAGTTTATGTGAACCACTGTTCGTTTTAAAATTTGGAAAATATCACTTCTGCTTTATCGGTCCAGAAAATATTGTAAAAGACTGCAATTTAATTAATTTAATTAATTAATTAATTTGTAATTATAGTCATGCATTAATTAAGTATTTATAAATATATAGTATATATAAAAGAACATTTCTTATGTTCCATGGATATTCAAAAGTCAACTACAAATTCATGTTTGCCCTTAATAGTGCAAATCTGTTTGGAAAAACCGCTTCAATCATATAACATCACGGTACTGTTACTGTGGCCGAAATAGCTTTTCTTGCTGAGACCTACTTCTAAACACAAAGTTTAAATTACTAATTGCGTCTTTTTTACCTCGGTACAGTGATATTTTTTGCAATATTCTTTCTATATACAGTCTGCCTTTCAACGGCCTATGTACAGTCAATCCTCAATCACACAGTCTGAAACCATTGTTTACTGAAGAACTAAGTGCACTTCATCACGACATTGTATTGTTAGTGTTTGCCATTCAACTCACTTTGACCGACGTGTGATTTTCTTAACCAAACGTTTGAAAGCTTCTGTGTATTTTTGGTCCAAACAAGCATAAATAATTGGATTGCATAAACTGTTAAACAGTGGCAGTGTTCTGACTACAAGAGAAAGGATGTCGACTCGGTACCAATAGCTTTCCGAATCGCTCTCCCAATTGATAAAATCTGGAGAATAATACCACAAAAATATCCAAACAATCCAAGGGGCCCAACAAATTATAAAAACACCTACAACAACAAACAACGTTTTTATAGCTTTCAAATCCTGACGTAAAGCTGTCCGTTTACTTTGGCTGTTCAATGTTTGACCAAATTCGCCATTCAAGAGCATTTTGTTTCGCCTATGGGTGACAAGAAATATAAATACATACATAACCAGAATTATTGTAGCTGGTAAAATAAACGCGGTTATCGACAAAAAGGTTTCGAAAACCTTTCCTTCATCGTCTTCCTTCTCCGGACAACCACCGCTGCTGGTTTCCAAAAGCCCTTGGCTTCCTGAGTATGGTGTAGCACCGAAAGTGGCAATAACGGCTGAGATGAAATAAATGATGAAAATTAACCTAAATGTTTTGGACGTTGTCATTTGTATTTTGTACTGAAATGGCTTGCTGATTTTGAGATATCGGTCGAAACTTATGGCCGTCAGGGTGTAAATAGATGTTGTTAATGCAAAGGTGTCTATCCACACTGCAAAACGACAAAGATGAACAGGCATGTCGACTGGTTCTGGTTGCTTAAAAAGAAGAAGAGAATAGTAATTCAGCGGTGCGACAAATATGCCAACCAAAATATCAGCGACAGCCAGAGAGGCGATGAAATATTTGCTTGGTTGATGAAGACTTCTTTCCATCCAGGTCAAAACCAATACCACGGTATTTCCAAGAACTGCCAATATGGCGATGAAAATAAGTAGAATCTCTTCAGATAAGGAAATCTTAGCTTCAAATTCCTCCATGAAGGACGTTCCTGAGCAGCTTTCCTCTGTGGTGCTTGGCAACAACATTACCGAAAACTTTCCAATCAGTCCTGCGTAATGAACATAAACAAAACCCGTGTTGTTGAATTTAAATTTATAAAGTGGTGGACAAAAAAAGGCACCTTCTTAAATGGAACTTTATCACATTTATATCCCATACATCTACGAAGGCAGTGAGATTCACTGAATTACTTTACGTAATTATTGATAAAAACATGCAATGCGCAACATTTTGCTATTACGTACAAATCTCTACTGAGATCATGTACTACAATAACGCACATTTAATGACTCAAAGAAGAGCACGTTCGCTTGGAAAAAGGGTCACATTTTGGAATTTTCAAAAAAATGGGGGGGGGCACCGTGCCCCAGTGCGTCCCGGTTTCGCGGCCCTTGCCCTTGCAGTATATATAGTTCAAATTATCGCATCAGTCAGCCAAAATGCTCGATCTGCCCCAGCTTGCGCTCATAAATCTCGCTAAACGTATCCACTCCTTTAATTCTGATATCAGCCATACATCGCATGTTTAACTCCGGTTGGGAAAAAGTTCCTCCGCGTATTAGACTTCTAGTAGCGAGCTTAAGATTTACCAAATCTACGACGGGGACGTTAGTCACGTAACATAAAAACTGACACTATATACTGTATAGCGTTACGAAACCAGTACTAATTTGTTTTACACACGGCTCTGACTTTGTTTGTTTATCAAAAAGTGTCTATAATTTCCATCCCTGTTGGAAAACTGTTGAAATTAGAGCAGAATTACTTGACGTCCAGCCCGGTACGTATATGTACGATATGTATGATACGTATTGTCTTTGATCACTGACAAATAAAGTGCTTTATTAAAAATTATTTATTCACTGACCAGCAATTAATCAATCAACATGTGACATGTGAGAACTACGCTTAAATATCCTTTCGTATTTGTCACTTACTTTTTTTTTCTTTTTTTTTTCTCAATTTGCCCTGTTACTCTTTCTATTGATCTTCAATTGGCTCAACTGAATACGACGTTCAAAGCTGGACCTTATATACTGAAACAACTTGACGTATTACAGCTTCGCGTCCATGATCGTATCAATTAAATGGCATGTTTTAGAAATTTATCAAACACCTGCATCTTTTTAAAACGATTCTTTCGCCGGAAACCACTTCGCCCAAACGAATTTACAGGGACTGAATAAAATGGTTTAGGAATAAAAATCTCCGATATTTGCGGCTGAATTGCTGGTTCTGTTACGTTTTTCATCTGTCATTGTCGGCTGCTGTAGAGAAATATATGAAAAAATTTAACTGCCAGATAATATTTTAACACCTTGACTGTTGACGCAACACTTGAAGGTTTTCATGGGGTGACGTATATCATGCATCGTAAACAAAAGACAAGATTTCGAACAATTACAACACGTTAATCGATTATCAAAATACTTGAAAATGAGCATTATTGAGTTGAAAAGGCGACACAAGATTCTCAGGAAGCGACGAGAAATTATTTTCATGCGCTCTCGTGTTTTATTGCACGAGAAATTATTTTCATGCGCGGTCGTCGTGCCGTGTTTCCACGAGAAAACGCATTTGTGAAAATCGAAACATTGGCTCTTTAAGCGATTGATATACGTAAACGTTCACGCATATGCATACGCGAATCTTCGTTTTACACAATTTAGGGCCGCTTTTAATATACCTAAAGGGATTGATTTTATAAGCGACAATTCCAATAATAAAAGCAATTTTAAGAACAAATGATGCGTTTCTAGAATTACAAACACACGCAATTACGCGGGGTCACAATTTTCTAAACTGAGGACCCCCTCGTCATCATGCATGTGCATGCATGAGCAGGCTAATTTAGACGCAAAATAGACAGAAGGAAAATTCGAGAGAAACCGCATGATGTAACTCTTAGTTGATTACTATAGTAACCGTCAAAACTGTTTTGCTTTCCTGCACAACCGGCGCCCACTTACACCACGCGTACTGCTGTTTTAAATACTTATTACGTTCTCTATTTGCTCTCGTGCGTCAGAAATTGATCATTTTTCAAAATTTATAAGAAATCAATTACTTTTATATCTTGAAATATTTCAAATCTTTTCCGTCAAGGCCTTTTTATTAGTTCTTTAAAACGAATTTATTTAGTGCCAAGCCTTATCACGTAGCTTTTTTTATTTTAACCTACAACATGTTTTTATGAATTTTTTGTGCTTATTAACGACTGAAATATAATTAGACAACGCAGTTTTTGAACATATTTTTGATGAGACGATATTTGAAAAGACGCTACACCTCCTTGAAAAGTATAACATATGTTGTTTTTTTTATCATGAATGACCCCTTGTAAAAAACATCCTACTTTTTAAATGGCATACACAGCTGTAATGATAATTTCTGGTTCAAGTGGCCCTTTTTATGGTCGAGTGGAAGGCATGCAAAAGTTGCATAAAGCTATATCTTTAAAAAAATGCCAAAAATAAACAAATTGCAAAGTATCTACAGTTCATGCGGCATAGAAGGAAGGTAATTCACCTTCATCATGGTATTTTTTCTCAATCTGTTCAAACTAAAATTACCTTAAGGTATTGCATGCAGGGTTTATATTTTGCGAGAAGATACGGATTTTACCTTCGTGGCAAAAACATTATTCCACTTATATCACATGTCAATATTGTTTTTGCTACGAGAATATAGATTTATATCTTTTCGCCACCGTTTAATTTTCTGTTCATTAAATCGACTTGCTTTTTGCGACAAAAAAAATAACATTTCAGTAAAAAGCGTTCAAACAAAACACAGAAACAGCGTCTATAAACGTTTCTTATTTTTCCTTGATAATTGAATGGAAGATATTACAACTTATCCCAAACTACTTTTTGTTCATTCTGGAATATTCTTCCTGAATATTTCCTATATACATTATATACAACCATAATATTAATTCATATTTATTTTCCTGGTTTGTCATTAGGTACACGTTTCACACTTGACTAGTCTAAATTATGCTAAGAACCTCCGATGTCTAGCTGATATTGCAGTTTAATAAAAAACTATGAAACAGCTATCACGTTTCAGTTGCTTTCATGTTACTGAGAAGCCGTGAAAATGCTTCATTTGAAGGCGTCGTAAAAATGACAACGCTGTCTTTGTACCACAGGTTAGGGCTGCTTCGTCGCGTTTTTTTGCACGTACATGCACGAATGCACTTAAAAGTTTAAATGCTTTTTAATTTTTTTTATTTTACATCTAGGTCAAATAATTGCACACCAAACTACGCGGAATAGTTCTTTCTGCGTGCACGTGTGAATGAAAAAAAACGCGACAGTGGCGAGCAGCTTTTATGCATACCTATGTGCGGTCTTGCGTGTTGTGTTTTTGGTTTTGCAAAGCGCATCATTGAGCTGGCCGCTTCGCGAAACGTTGGAAATTGGAAATTCGTTTATCTCTTTCCAAAAGATAGTCTTATGAAGACATGCATGACCATTATCTCATTCTCGTTCCAAACCGACAGATTACTTGCTTAAACAAATTTTTGAAAGCTTCTCTGTACTTTTGATCCAGCCAAGCATAAATGATTGGATTACAAAGACTGTTGAGTAGTGGGAGGGTGTTTGCTACGAAAAAAATTGTGTAGTTCCGATACCAGTAGCTATTAGACTTGTAAAACAAGCAATTTAAATCTATAAAGTTATTTAAGAGCACGAACCCAATAAACCAAGGGCTCCAGCAAACTATAAATACTCCCATAATGATCACCAACATCCGAAACACTTTCATATCGTGTCGAAGAGTGGCAGTTTGCTTGCTGAGGTTAGCCGATGTTTGTCCCAGTTCGCCATTTCGTAACATTATTTGTCGCCTATGTGCCACGAGAAAAATTAAAGCGTACATAATCGATATTACTAGAGTAGGCAAAAGGAACGCAATTATGAACAAAATATACTCGTAGATTCGATTATATTCCTGGAAATAATGAGGGCAGAGCCCAGTAGCCAGAATTCCTTTGCTCTGAAAATAAGGATTAATTGAGCAAGTGGAAAAGACCGTTGAAATCAGAAAAATCGCGAAAATGATCTTTTTTGCTTTGGAACCTGTCATTAGGGACTTGTACTTGAAGGGTTTGCTTATTTTAAGATATCGGTCAAAACTGATGATTGTCAGTGTATAAATAGATGTTGTTAACGCAAAGGTATCTATCCACACCATAAAACGACACAGATGAATGGACATGCTATATAGCGATTCAAAACTATGAAAGTAACCATATAAATTCAGTGGTGTCACAAGTATGCCCACCAAAAAATCAGCGACAGCCAGACAAGCGATGAAATATTTATTTGGTTGATGAAGACCTCTTTCTCTCCAGGTCGCAATCAAAACCAACGTATTTCCCAAAGTTGTAAATATGATGATAACAATTAATATGACTTTCATTGTTAAGTCCAATTTCTTTATAAATGCTATAAAATTTGCCCAATTGAGCAGTTCATTGGAGGTAATCCCAGGAGGAGTAATTCCAGTTTCATTTGTGTTGTCATATCCCGTAGTTGTACACGTAATGTTTGCCAATGCCATTTCAAACCAATCCTACGACATAAGTAAATAGTAGCATGTTTTATTATATTTTCTAGTGCTCCGAAATCATATTTTACGCTTTTCTGCAATCTGATTGGCTGCGAGAGCGGTCCGTACGAACCGCGCGAAATTTAAATCCCCAGCGATGACAATGAATCGGACTAAATAAAATGGGCCACTTGCATAATAGAGCAACTTTCGATTTAGGCGACAAAAAGGGAATCTCCGATAAATCAAACTAAACTTAGTCAAATTGCCAAGATTGGCTGCAAAATAATGTAAAGTACCCAAGATATAACCAAGTAAAGTTGGCAGTTTTTGTATTCTTTGTATTTATAGGCGGAAGTGTGCACTTAATTTAATTACACTCTCTACTTCGTATGGCCATATTTTCCGTATACTACTTGATATTTTGCAGCCAAACTTGGCAATTATATATTAATTTAAGCATGCTCTTTTTAGCTGTGGTGATTTTCCCTTCTTGTTAAATTTGCTTAAATTTTAGGAAATATTTCCCCCGGCCTAGATCTCTCGGGAAATATTTCCCAGTACGGACCTTCAATCCGGTTGGACCTCACATACAGTCGAAAATAAACCAATGATATAACAGATTTTAGGTGTCAGGATTCAATAAATTGAGCTCCAGGATCAAAACCTTGACTCAGGTGAAGTGAGTGAACGCGTAATTTCGGTTACAAATGTTTTGATGCATAAGTGAAAAGTCCAGATGAAAATTTCTCTGTATATAATTATGTAAATTTTCATTGTTGATTTTACAGCCTACACTCTATAAAACGTCAACCACCTTGACATACGTATATGTTTACAATAATTACGACTAAATTAAAACCATGCAGTCACAATCAGTATTAAATGAATAATATTCTTTACAGTTCATATATATTTCTCACCTCTAATGGCTTTATGTGTCTCCGGTAGTGCCTCTGTACCAAGTGAAGTGACACTCACAACTATAAAACTCCCGAGCTATACGAATAAAGAGTACATGCAATTCCCAGAATAAAAGCAGCGTTTGCAATTCTATTTTTGAACAACTTCCATTTTTACGCTAACTTTTGGTTGTAGACTTGTAGTTCAGTACATCTTTTGAATGTGCTTCACAAAAATTGAAATATTTTAATCGCTGATATAGCTTTTATTTCGCTCGCGGCTAAATTCATCAGAAGCTCAGTGTGCGTACCGATTATGTATTTATAATATGCGTAACGATTTTAATATGCTCATCTTTCTTACACCTGCTTAATTTCATGTTCTGATCGTTTTTTAATTAAAATGAGGAAGTAATGTTTTGTCGAAAATGGTTTACGATTCGTTATATTACTTTCGCACGATTTTAAAAAAAACTAGATTTAAAAAAAAAACTAGATCGACATGCATGCATTCATTACAGCATGAACAGCTAATCTTTCATCATATTCGTTGTTTGATAAGTTATCATTTAAGTTATCATTTCACTTATAGCATGGTGAATGTTACATAATAAATTGACGAAACATACACAATTATTATAGAATATACGCCATTTTAGCCGGATCACCTACAGGGGCCGGTTGTTCGAAAGGCGTTTAGTTTAAACGCTGGATAAGCCAAATTTCAAAAACACTCTCATAGATGGTGTCATTGGTGTAAATGATTGAGCCTGCATATTGTGCATTAAATATAAGTTCTTACATTGAAAATTAAACTATTTACATCGAAATATTTCAGCTCAGTTGTTCAATAAATAGATTATTTTGTTTTCCATTTTGAACTTATTCACCTTTTAAGCTGAACGCCTTTCGAACAACCGGCCCATAGTAAATAGTTCTTTGGAGTACAATCTCGTCCCAGTATTGCCTGTGCCTCGGCTCAATTAACCTTCCTGCATGTTTCTTTTAACCATGCCTTTTTAAAAGTGTATCGCGAAGGACAAGCTAAGTATTGTCAAATTGGGATATCACTCGTAATGTGTTTTGGCTACGCTTTAGTAATACTCAATATGAAACTATATAGTATAATGGCATTGCAAGAAATCATGCATACCCAACTGAAATATTCTGTGCGATTAAAATTGTATATTCTATATTTGTGCTTTACATTTTGCAAATAAAGTTTTTGCAATTTTATATGATTTTCTTCTTAATAAGTTCCGTGTCCATATTAAATAGACTTGGTGGCTGGCGAACGAGTTTTTTAATTTTAATAACATGGCTGTAATTTCTGGCCATGAACTAAATCAGTTATGCAGTCTGTTTTTCAGTGGAACTAACTGTATTGGTTGGGGTTGTCTTCCAAACGATTTTTTCCGAAATGTTATTTTCTTAACCAAACGTTTGAAAGCTTCTGTGTATTTTTGGTCCAAACAAGCGTAAATAATTGGATTGCATAAACTGTTAAATAGTGGCAGTGTTGTGACCACAAGAGAAAGGATGTCGACACGGCGCCAGTAGCTTTCCGAATCGCTCTCCCAGTTAATAAAGTCGTAATAGTAATACCACAGCCTTGTCCAAGCAATCCAGGGACCCCAACACAAAATAAATACCCCAGCAACAATAAGGAGCATTCTTATAACTTTCAAATCTCGTCGTAAAGTTGTTCGTTTTTTCTGGTTGATCATTGTTTGGCTCAATCCGCCATTCACGAGCTTTTTGTTTCGCCTGTGAGCTACAATAAATATAAGACCATACATAACCAGAATTATTGTATCAGGTAAAAAAAATGCACTAATTGACAAAAATGTCTCGAAAACTTCTCCTTCATCGCTGCTCGAACAAACACCGCTGCCGGTTGCCAAAAGCCCATGGCTTCCTGAACATGGTGTAGCGCTGTAAGTAGCGATGACGGCTGAGACGAAAACGATGATGAAAAGTAACTTTTTTGTTGTGGAAGTTGTCATTAGTGTTTTGTACCGAAATGGCTTGCTGATTTTGAGATATCTATCGAAACTTATGACTGTCAGGGTGTAAATAGATGTCGTTAATGCAAAGGTGTCTATCCACGTCATAAAACGACAAAGATGAACAGACAGGAGTACTGATGCTGGCTGATCATAAAGAAGAACGGCATAATAACTCAGCGGTGCGACAAAGATGCCAACCAAAAGATCAGCGGCAGCCAAAAAGGCAACGAAATACTTGCTTGGTTCATGAAGACATTTTTCTCTCCAGGTCAAAATCAAAACCAAAGTATTTCCAAGAACGGTTAATATGGCGATGGAAATTAATAGGATTCTTTCGGCTAGGAAAACCTGTTTCTCAAATTCCTTTATCGATGATGCCATTGTACCGCTTTCCTCAGTGGTGCTTGCCATCGACATTGCAAAACGTCTTAATCAGTCCTGCGTGAGGAATATATTAAAATGCAGTTAATAGACTTCAATTCTAGGTTTTTATGTGGGCGAATTTAAATTGTAGCCTATAGTAGAAACTGTAATTGATAAAAGGGCATATTTATATCTGAGGTTACCAGGGTCTTCATGGGCGTAACAAAAACCACTGAATTATATGTATTAATATTCCGCTGTTAACTGCCTTCTCCCGTCCCACCGCCTATCTGCTCGTTTTTCGGGTCGACCGTTTTTTCTTTTTTCTGGATGTTGATTCATGACGGTCTATTTAGCGCCCAACCCCCCACCCCCACCCCCTTTGAGGAAATCTTTTTTAATTCTACTTTATCCTTGAGCGTTTTTTGTCTGCTTCTTTTTGTTTTCTTGAGCGTCCTCTCATTTCTATAGTGATTCGCGTTTGACTGTCTGATCACGGAATGGAGAGGATACCGTGTAGGTCAAAACCGAGGACCAGAATGTAGGATGTTCACATCAACGGGACCTAGCTCAATCGCACCGTGTTAGCTACGTCGGGTACTGCGTCTTCATCCATACCGATCGGCAGGGGGCATTGATTATTAGTATATGCTATATTATTGGTAAAGCATTCTCCGAGATCAATAATATATATTAAGTTTAATAAACTTGATTAATATATATGTAATACCCTGGGCGTAATCCCACACAGAAATGTTTAGTAAATATCACATGCAATTATAAATTGTACGCTTATAAAATTCGCTAAATTCGCCGACTGTGTTGACATGTGAGAACTATAGGCTTAAATATGATTATATAATTATACGTCACTTACTTTCTATTATTTCTTTGTGTTTTCTTCAATTTTCGTTGTTATACTTTTTTTCCTGTTCTTCAGTTGGCTCAACTGAAACATTCGTTCAGAGCTGGATGTTATATGCTGAGACAACATGACGTCTTACAGCGTCGAAGACTGATCGTATCAGTTAAATTGCAATTTTAGAAATATATATTTATCAAACACCTGCATCTCTTCAAACTATTCTCGAATTTGAAATTCATTTCTTACGATCGAAAGCTAAAAACGATTTACAAGGAAATAAAATTGTTTACGAATAAATGTTTCATAGATATTCGCGAGTAAATTGCTGGTTGTGTTAAGTTTTTTTATAATATCTGTCAGTGTCGGCTGTAGAGTATAAAAAAAAATTTAACTGCCAGTATTATTTCTAGGTTTTTTTAACAGCTTGACTGTTGACCCAACACTTACATAAAAGTTTTCATGCACGGGGTGATGTAAATCACAAGTCGTAAACAAAAGACAAGATTTCGAACAATATTCTTTAGTAATTGAACATGTTAATCGACTATCTATCAAAATATTTGCATGCATAATAAGAAAAATTTTTTAACAAAGATGAACAGGCTTTTGTGATGCTGGCTGATTATAAAGAGGAAGTGCATATAATAATAATTCAGTGGTGCGACAAAAATCCAACCCGATCGGTGGCGGCTAAAAAGTTAACGAAATATATGCTTATAACGAATAATACAATTATTGCGTTGGTTTTCACATGATAGGAAGAAATATCAAGCTTCCGGAAGCACGAACGGCCATTTCTCGTTATCGACAAACTTCGGGTCGATACTGATTATCCACATCATTTACAACGTCATTCGATAATAGTTATTATATAGATGTATAATATATAGTATATGTATATAGCCACAATTTTGTGCATAAGTTTTTAGACCCAAAAAATATATAGGAGAAAAGCAGTTTCTGAATATATTTTTGATGAAACGATATCTGAAGAAGTAGCCACACCTCCTTTACCGGTATAGGACTATATATACTATAATATCTATTGAGTATCATGAGTGACTCTTGTAAAAAACCTTTATGTTTTTTAATGGTATGTATGCACAGCTGTTAATAATTCTGGCTCAAGTGGCTCTTTTTTATGGCTGAGTAGAAGCCAAAATTGGATGAAGCTATCGTTAAAAAAACGCAAAAAAAATAAGAAACTTTATTAAAAAAATATCTACAAGGCCGCATAAAGGGAATTAAGCTAGGTAATTCAACAGCACAATAGTGGCATTTTCTCAATCGGTTCCACCTGAGATTACTTTAAGAAGTCGCATGCACCATTTGTTTTCAATGTTCACAGCTAAACAATATCAAAGAAAAAAAATATTTTTTAAACTATAAAAATTAAGATACATGTAGGACGTCATTTAATATATCATATATAGTTATCCCTTTATCTATATAGTTTTCGCGTTTACTTAAAATTATGAAATTAACTATGAAAATTAAAATGCAATATAGGACGTCATTTATATCATACAGTTATCCGTTTAACTATATAGTTTTCGATTTTTCTTAAAATTTTGGATCGCTTCATTCACCTTAACATATAGTGGCAACATTTAACGCATGAGCTCATTCAAAGTTGTTGCGTGATGTATTAACAGCATGACGGATGCAAGCGATATGTGATATGAATCATATTAAATGCTTTTTGCGTAACTTATCATAAATGATCAAACATCTTGATGCATACGGCTACGTACATACTTAGAATAATCTATATTTTAGCTTGGTGTGCATAGTTCCACAATAGCCCGCGTGTTTTACAAAAACGAAACGAAAAGACTATATTTTTTACCAAATTTTACGGTCGCAAGAAGATAATACGAATTTTATGTTTATAGCAAAAACAATATCTCATTTGTATTATATTTTGACACTATTGTATCCGCAACTATTTGATGTTTGTGTATGTATGAAATCGACTAGCTTAATTTTACAATAGAAATATACATTTCAGTAAAAAATATTGATGTTATAGACTTGACATCATTTTAAATTTGAAGCCTAATTTTTTAATCATCCTGCCCTTATTAGTGCGAAAGAAAATAGTTTCAATGTCGTTGCCTGAGATATAATTGTTATGATCATGGGAAATGGAAACTAAAAATCTTTTGATGAAAAGGTATTAAACACTCTTTTAATTTATCCTCCAAAAAATTTAATATTGACCTAAACATAATGATGTATATATTTTATACGAAACTTTTTGTTATACTCTATTGATAATTACATGCATATATATATTTTATATTACATGGGGATTCTCTCAATGTTAATATGTTTAGAATTGATAAAATTCTTTTACATAGTAGTCTTAAATTCTTTTATATAGTAGTCTTAGTTGATCTCGCCTAAAACATGCATGCCGGGACATTAAATCTTGATATTATAGATGGCTACATATGCATTCACATACACTATCTACAAAATATATATCATAACAGATTGTTCATTGCATGTAAATTTGAATTTTCCGCGGTATTTCAACTGCTCTATCGCCTAAGTAGTGAAGATATTAAGAATTTGTCACTGCATGTATACTTTTCATATTTAAGTTTTATTATATAATAGGAGATAAAATACTTGTCGACATGCAACGACAAGTAAGATTATCTTGTTCTTTGTGGGCGTAGCTCATTAGATGGTGGTGTTCTCGTACTTGAGCTTGGCCAACACACGATTTTCTTAAACAGACGTTTGAAAGCTTCTCCGTATTTTTGGTCTAACGAAGCATAAATGATTGGGTTACACGCGCTGTTGAATAGCGGAAGCCAGGCGCGGATCTAGACCGTATCGAACGTGGCTCGAGCCTCGGTCAGATTTTCCCATCCAGAATTTCCCATCTGCAATCTAATATTCACACATTATTTAGAAGTACATATTAATTCTTTGAATCACACCAAAATTAAGGAAATATATGTCTAAAACAAATAATTTGAGTAATATCTTTCGTAATCGTTGTCATATTATTACCAATTCCTGCTAAAAGTGGGAACAAATTCCCAATTATTATTCCTTGTTTCATATTACGATTGTTCAGTTAACACTGAACTATAAAATTTGCCGAAAGCTTGCCGAATTGTGCCGAGTATGTTCGGAAGCTAGTCGTGCATTCGAAGCTGCGATCACAGCAACTAGTTGACACGGTCAGCGTGCAGATTATTGCGCAATTGTTACTAAATATAGTAACGCTCGGACACGGTGCAGTGTAGCAAACCAATCACAGGGCAAGCTTTTGCCACGTGAGCCACGGTGCGACACGGTGCGACACGGTGGCCTGTTTTTGATTGCGCAATAAACATGATAAACAATAAAGTTCGACACTTCTCGACTTCGAACTCGGATATAGTTTATACATAACACGTTAAATTGGTCTGTTCGCTGCATCCTGGCTGATTCAGGCTGAATCGAATGCATTAATACATGAATCCGTCGAAATTTTTCAAAAGCAAATCTAAGCGAGCATATTTCAGGGGAAATATCGCTCTTCAGGCTACAACATGATGGAATTATTACTAAAGACAGGCTTCGCTCGCTCGCGTCTACAATCGCAACGACAATTTTTAAACTGCTATTTCCCAAGAGACAAATACTGAAAATCTTTACCCAATGTCCTTGTAAGGTAAGACTTTTAGGTTTTAAATCGAACTATGGGCGCTCTCCTTTATACGGAAAAACGGCCAGACCGGTTCTGTTGTATTTCGGTAGTCGGTACAGACAAAAGTATATCGTTATTTAATACATCTGCCTAACACGGGAAATGCAGTTTCACCGCTATATTCTTAACGAAATACTCTATTTCAATTTAAAATATGACCGGTCTGACCTTTTTGGCCGCTTAATGGAAAGCGCCCTATGATACAAATTTGCATTTACGCTGTGAATAATTTGTGTATGCAAATTTCAGGTTATGTTGAGTGGAATGAAATATTCGTAAATACCTTACCAAAAATTTTGAAAATGGTTTTGTGGTTTTATGAAAGTACAGGGATTTACAATATTCGCTTTTAAACGTTCCCTGAAGAATATTGTAGAACCAAAGCTCAGAAAATGTTTGTTTCGGAGGGTCCATAGCCCCTTCGCCATACGCCCCCACAAC